TGGTACGGAATACAATTGCGAAATACGCGATCCAGGAGGAGGATATCTACAACTTCGACGAGACCGGTTTTGTGATGGGCCAAATCTCGTCGGAAATGGTCGTGACGACTTCTGATCGGCGCGGAAGGCCTAGATCAGCCCAGCATGGAAATCGGGAATGGGTTACAGTTATTCAAGGCGTTGGGTCGTCCGGTGATGCCCTCCCTCCGTACATCATTTTCGCCGGCAAAACCCACCTCTCGTCATGGTACGAAAACAGCCCATTACCGCCTGATTGGGTTACTAAAAATGGCTGGACTATGAACGAGAGAGGCAAAGATTGGATAAAACACTTCGATCATCACACCAAGTCTCGTACGAAAGGTACTCATCGCCTATTGATCCTCGACGGTCACGAAAGCCATTACTCGACCGATTTCGAGGTATATTGCAAAGCTAACAATATCGTCACGCTTTGTATGCCTCCTCATTCGTCGCATAAGCTCCAGCCTCTTGATGTTGGTTGTTTTCGCGGGTTAAAAAGAGCGTGCGGAAAAGAAACCGAAGATCTCATGCGAGCACATATAAGTCATATCTCGAAAGAAGACTTTTTACCGGCGTTTTTAAACGCGTACAACACAACTTTCACGGTTTCAAATATCCAAGGAGGTTTCCGAGGGGTAGGAATAGTTCCGTACGATGCAGATTATGTCATATCACAGCTCGATGTGAAATTACATACGCCAACACCTCCGGGTAGCTCGGCTGGTCTCCCCGTCCCTTAGGAATCAAAGACTCCGAACAACCCAACCGAAGCCCAATCACAAACCGATTATGTGAAAAACAGGATTGTACGACATCAAAATAGCCCACCAACGTCAATTTTTGCTGGAATAGATCAGATTGCGCGAGGTACAACGAAGATTATGCATCGGCTTGCCCTTTTAGAAGGCGAGGTCGAATGACTTCGAAAGGCAAATGAGACCTTAAGTCGACGTCGCCGTGCGAAGAAAAAACAGCTACAGAGTGGAGGGTCACTTCGTATACAAGCTGGACAGGACCTACAGTCTCAACGAGAGGTTGATGGGCAGTTACATGACGAATTTCGTCAAATTGGTGGTCGGACGAGGCGGCGAATTGCGCGTGTACGGCGCTATAGAATCTGCGGCGAGGCCGGACATAATGCGCGCACTTGTGGAAATGATGTAGAGACGTCTGAAGATAACGATTCTGAGTAGTTTCAATTGATGATAGGCGTTGTGGTTGAATTAACTTATACATTGTCGTATAAGGTCTGCCAAAGTGTGCAATTGGACCGTGGACTACGTTATGAACGAAGTATTTAGGTTGATTCAGTTAGACCTGCAAAATGGGCGTGCATGCAAAAAGCTGGTCAATGCGGTTAGTATATCATGAATTTGTGTGTTGCTGATGCTTTGGAGAGACATCGGCAACAATGTGCAACTATACCCTTGTTATGTTGAAGAATTACTAATATTACTACTTACAGTGACTGACTTGCATACTCCCCTCCATTATGATCAGAATTTACTATTGTTGATTAACCGACCTCAGTGACCCTAGGGGGCAATCATGGTCGCCAAATAAAATGACAGTTGCATGGAAGCTTCTCTGACTTTCTTAAGAAGGTAATAGAGTCATACAAAGCCAATTACTGACATTTTCAGCTTGCACCATTGCCGAAAAGTGCAGGGTTCTGTTGGACCGCACCAGCCTTCGACTTCCACCGGTGTTTTTTTTCTTTTTTTCCTTCTTTTGTTTACCGCTACTACAGCCAATTGACTGATAATGGATGACCCTGAGCACCAAACCCTAGGCAACGACCAACTGTTAGAACTTCGGGAGCGAAATCTCGGGTGTATCAGGAAATGACTCAAGCGTGCAGCTAAAAGGTAACCTTTTCTGTACTTAAGGCCCTTATGGGCCACCTTCGCTTCTTTGGAATTGGAGGGATCAGAGACACACTCAATTACATGTTTTGTTAGAGCTTGCAATAAGTCCGATAGTCCCGACTTGGGGTACGGAGACTCCAGCGGAATCACCTACGAACATTGTGGTGCTGACTCAGATTCGAAATTATTTTCTATTCGTTGTCGATGAAACACACCGGGAAGAGAGTGTTCCACGATCCCTCGCCGAAGTATTGGTTAGTGAATGCTGAGGGTGGGCGTCCTAGACCAAATCTATTTCCGAGTTGTTGGTCGATATATAATCGCGAAGGCTCGCGTTAAGGCTCGATTACTCTTGACCTCTCCGACCGGTCTGTAGCATCGCAGGTTCGAATTCGTCTTCCCCCACGCCCTGGGTCGGTTCTAGTCATTCCGCACATACCACCATGACTTGTCTCATATGGTCTTGTACCCTTCCAAGCATTGATTCTTATATATATAGTAGTCTAGCAATACAAGCAAAGCATGATTCGCTCTTATTGCATGTTGCATGCTTCAAACGCATCAAAGATTTGTGATTGCTGAGTGGTGTGTTTTCCCACAGCTCACTATTTGCATCAGCAAATGCTCAACTCACGTTCAATATTGAATTGGTTGAGAACTTTATCATTCATGTTTATAAGATAAATCTTGGTGTTTCTTTTGCCATGGAATGGGAATAACTCTGGAAACATACTTTAGTATTCCAAATGCCCCCGACTACAAGACAGGACCATGAACCAGCAAAAAGGTGTCCTCTAATTTAAGTAACGTGGTTTAACACCGAGTCGCGCATATCACCGAGTCGCGCACTTTTTCAACTTTTCCAACCTTTTGACTTCAACACTTATTTCCTCAACAACAACACCATGTCAGTTCAAACCCAAGAAGCCAAAATCAACCTTGCCATCGAAGCTATCCGATCGACCAAAAATATGAGCCAACGTCGAGCAGCAAAGCTATACGGTGTACCCGAGACCTCACTCCGTGACAGAATCCACGGTCGCACCCCACGTACCGAATCTGGCCGAATAGCGCACTACTCGCCAAGATAGAGGAAAGAGCTATTGTTCAGCATGTACTTGACCTAGATTTGAGAGGGTTTCCTCCCCGGCTAGAGGGTGTGGAAGATATGGCCAATTCCATTCTTGCGACGCGGGGTACCCGACGCGTCGGCAAGCGCTGGGCGCATCGCTTTGTAAAGCGAACCCCAGAGTTACAGACGCGTTTTTCTCGCTCGTATGACTTCCAGAGGGCCCTCTGCGAGGATCCAAAGATTATTGAGGACTGGTTCCGGCTTGTATCGAATATGAGGGCCAAATACGGGATCCAGGACTGCGATATGTGGAACTTCGACGAGACGGGCTTTATGATGGGCGTTATTCAACGCTCGATAGTCGTTACCTCGTCTGAACGTAATGGTAGAGGCAAGAAGGTCCAGCCAGGTAACCGGGAATGGGCCACGGCGATTACCTGTGTCAATTCGGAGGGTCGCGACATCCCGCCATTTCTGGTAATTCAAGGGAACTATCACCTTGCTAATTGGTATACTGAGGGGGACCTACCAGCCGATTGGGTAGTCAAACCGAACGAAAACGGGTGGACGAACAACGAGACTGGTCTAGACTGGATCAAACATTTCAACAAGCACACTATCTCGACCAAAAGAGGCGTGTATCGGCTGTTAGTATTGGACGGGCATGAGAGTCATACATCGGCCGATTTCGAGTCTTATTGCAAGTCTAACGGCATTATTACTATCAGTCTGCCCCCGCACTCGTCTTATCTAACCCAGCCACTTGATGTCGGGTGCTTTGGGGTCTTGAAACGTATATACGGTCGAGAGATTGATATATTTATCAAGTCCCATATTAACCACATTACTAAGGTCGAGTTCTCTATCGCCTTTAAGGAGGCTTATTTAAAGACAATAACCGACAAAAATATCAAGGCAGGGTTTCGAGGGGCCGGCCTAGTCCCCCACAACCCTGAAGCCGTTATCTCGAAGCTGGATGTTAGGATTCGGTCGCCTACACCCGTTAGCCCCTCTCTTCTAGATGCTGACCCTTGGGTTTCGCAAACGCCAAATAACCCGACAGAGGCTCTCTCGCAGTCCGATTTTGTCAATCGCCGAATCGCCAGGCATCAGGGAAGCTCTCCGACCCCAATTTCTGATGCTGTTGGCCACCTTGCGAAGGGTATAACTCGATTAGCCCATGAGAATACCCTCTTGAAGGCTGAGTGCTCGACCCTTCGCAAGGCAAATGAGGCACTAACCAAGCGTCGGAGGGCAAAAAAATCGCGTGTACGGCAAGGAGGTGTACTTACTGTCGAGGATGCCCTGGACATTTTGGCCCGGAAGGACGCGGAGGCCCAGGTAAAGGAGGACAAGCGCTCTAGGGGGGGTAAAGAAAAGGCTGGTCCGTCGACTGTACGACGATGTAGTAAGTGTAAGAAGACCGGACATAATGTAAAGACTTGTCAGGTCGAACTATAATTGTCAGATGTATATAGCTCTGAATAAATTTCAATAAACTTTAGTCTGTTGTGGCTTTTTAATTGAACTTGAAATTATAGTGTGGTAAAAAGTGCGCGACTCGGTGTTAAACCACGTTAGAGTAGATTTTACTCTGATCAAAATAGTTTGTATAAATTTCGGTAATACCAGGCCACGATCTAGACTTTGATAAGCAATGTACGTAGAAGCTCGGGTTGTGCTATCAAAGTCGATGCATTGGATTCGGTATGAGCAGTGTACATCGGAACCCACTTCAATAACATGATGCACCTATATACAATATCGGACCCGCTACGTTTGAAGGAAGCCTAGTTTCTGATCCCAAGGGAATATGGCGATGGCTTCTGAACAGCTCTGCTCACGGTTGACCTAAATTCTTGAAGTAACAAAATGATCGTTTACAAATATGTGGACTTTCGAGCAACTTGGCCCGTTACAAGACGCTCATCCCGCGTCAGCTACTTGATATTCATGCGGCTCCGCTTTCATATACTACTGCATTGCATACTGCCAAGCAACCACATGCCATAAGCTGAGTAATTTTCCACCAGTCACATCAGTCCCCGCGCATAATGGGCTACAACTGACCCGAAAACTGCCGCAGAACAGTATTTTCAACGTTGTTGACCACTGAACAAAGAAAATAAACGCAAAGATCAAGCACTTCATGATGTCTCTATCCGACCACACACAAGACCTAATAACCTCCCTCGCAAAGGCGAAGCTAGTCCCAGGATCAGCAGCTGGTCTCATACCGGAGAACTTCACCCCGACAACCCAGTTGGGCGTCTCTTTCGCGGGAAAGGCCGTGGAAGTGGGCAACTTCTTCTGCGCAGGCGAGTGCAAGCAGCCACCGTCAATCTCGTTCGCGGCTGAACCTGATGCATTACCCAAGATGTCCTACACACTTATCTTGGCTGACCCCGATGCACCAACCCCAGATGATCCCAAGTTCGCCTTCTGGCGGCATTGGGTAGTGCCTGGGCTGCATCCGCTGAGTGGCGAGAATACGGTTGTCGCTGAGACAAAGCCGGCGTTGACTGCATACCTTGGCCCTGGGCCGAAAGATGAGTACGTTTTTCGCCGCTTCTGGATTGTGAACGAATGGGCCGTGCTAATTGACTCCATAGGTCCAAGCCCCATCGATACCTCTTCCTCCTGTTCAGGGAGCCAGAAAGTCTAGATCTTTCCAAAGAAGATGTTGGTGGCGAGGAGTTTGTGCAGAGGCGGTCTTTCAAACCTGCTGAGTTTGCGGAGACGCATGGTCTGCGCTTGGTTGCCGCGAACTGGATGACCTGCGCTGGCGATGGGTGGACGGAATGATCCCTGGTTCCTGAAAGGTACTTGAGTCTTGAGGCTATAAAAAGCGATGGCATACTGTGCTCATTGAGAATTTATCTAATTATCCGAGCTCAAAGCATGAAATGACACCGAAAGACTTCTGTAATGGAGCCAACATGTAGCTAGTGTTGTCATGATGAGCAGTAGCTCGCCCCCCAACCACTTTGGCTTGTCATACAAGTTCTCATGCAAGTCGCCAGGTATGGTCGCATCAAAATAAGAGTCGGATTATATATAATCTCTAGAAAGGCCCTCGAGCCATCTTTCAACCCCAAGCTCGCAAGTACCTTGCCTAGATCCGTGAAGCTAGGTTCCAAGGGCTCGGCGCATGGTGACCAAGTGCTTCAGGGATGACGTCCAGGAAGCCAGAGGTTTTCCTTTGCTGGAAAAGACCACTTTCTTCCCGGTTGCTTGATTGGCGGCCTCATCAGCGTCTTCGACACCCTCGTCCTCACTGTACTCCGCCGGATATGAGCTATGGTGAGGCCGGGGTCATGAGACCTATCATGGGGTTCAACGACGAGAAGAGGCCTCAGTTCACCTGATGGAAGGCAAAGGGCTTTATGCGGCTGGGAAAAAGGAGTTGGATAGATAATTTACACCGGGTCTAAGTGTCAATAGAAATCAAATAAATACTTTGATCAGTTACAATCCTAGGGTTTTGGAATACGAACCTGCCAATGGCGCATCGCCTTTCTATTTAAGATTATCCATACGAAATAACCATAAGCTTATTAGTCCCGGATATCTTATGTTCAGAAGACGTATTGCAGTATTATGGGGCATGATATTTGAGCTCTTCGACTTCGCATGAACCTATGTTAATAACTTTCGTAGAATAGCCTTCTTTTAGACTCATAGCTTTAGAAACATAGTCTTTCTTCATTTGAAACGAGACTGTCCTATATACTGTGTTATATCCTCAAGACGCTTCAACGGCTTCATGTATATTGCTAATCTAGGCTACAAGCCTACCATTGAGAACAAGAATAATAACTGAGTATGCAGCAATGCGAGCCGGAAAACAATACTAGACCACGGGAAGCACGACACTCCGGGCTTGTATATAAATCAACGCCTTTTAGTTCCAAGCTCATGTGGCACCCTGAACATGTACTGGAGTGTAAGTGATTTGACTTTGGGCTATGCTTGATCACGATTTGTTGCTTGATTTACACAAGCAAGGAAATGGCCAGCCTGAACTGTGTGGTCTGGACGACATTCTCGGTTAATTCAAACTCAAAACACTTGGTAAGGCGCATCCGTAATTTTCGTTGCAGCCAGAAACAAACATCTTTATCTTCTTATACCTTGTTTATGTTATGACCTCGTATTTTCATGTTCAGTCGACATCCTCACATCATTTGATTCTGGGGAGATTCGTGACTAGCTTGGCCCAACCAGTATAAGACTATTTTACTCACATTTGGAATATGATGCTGATGACTTTCAAATCATGGCACAGCTTCACCTCATGCTATGAAGGCTCCTAGAATGTTCTGCTCGGTTGATATAGCACATGGCAAGATTAAAGCCACGTACTCAATGACCAGTAGAACATCTCACGAGGGATTCCACATCGCGGTTCGTTCCGAAGTTACCAACTGTCGTACTAGAACGATGGCTCCACGAATCCAACACGATATCGGGATGCTGATATCCAATGCTACTAGGTTCATACTACTGAATGAATTCTCATGATTGTATGTATGTTGTATGTTAGTCTTTTGAGTCACCATGGGTCGAACAGCTGCCCCTTGCGAACCATGAGGTGATGAATACCCACATTTCCTACTTATGTGAGCAACGATGGCACGACCATGAAGCAAATGCAATTCATGATTGGCAGTCTGCAAAGCTTCGTTAATCTGTAGAACGACTACGGTGACCCAGGTGATGCAGCACAAGTCACCTAGGCATTGATCTGAACATTCCAGCAAGTAGAAGTGATCACCTTCAGGGGTAATACTGAGTAACTGATGAGAGACATGGCATGGTCCGAATATGAATATGGCAACGCCACCTACCTTCTTCTATCGCCCAGGGTCTTGATCTTATCTGAAATATATCTATGCCTCCCAACCTTCTGACCGCTTGATGACCAGCCACACTCCTCTGCACCGTTTCATTTCTTGTAAGACATGGTGAGTTTCTGCTCTTTGAAGTCGCTGCATAAGGGCCTGGTACTCACCACGGCAACCTGACAACTCGAGTGACAACCTCGTCACTCATGCCCCATCCCAGATACCGAACGATGCGCAAAGAAGCTCGAGGCTCCTGTCCCCTTTGGAGGATGCACGAGGTTAAAGTCTCCCAGTCAGAGGCCGGCAAGGCGGGTTTTGGCCGGTGCAGCCATTGACCCCCATCGCCTGAGTCTGTTCCAGAATCTGGGATACCCACGACTTGCCGCTTGATATCAAAAATAACATGTAGTTCACAGATCGAGCTCAAGACGGCGATTCCTTGGCAATTTCTCCCTCCGAAGATCGACGCCAGTGGATGGTTGTGTTGGTGAAGGCTGGGTAGAATTCTTCGTCTTGGGGAAATTTGGCCTTGTCACAAGCCTCATCCAGCTCCTTCATCTTGGCCCAATCAAGGCTGCCACAGCTGTGTGGATGTCAGTTCAACACATCTTGACAACTATAGAAACGCCCTGAGGCCCCTGATAGTCGTGTTGCGGGCACTTACCTCTCCCAAGTGTCGTAATCCGTCCCAACAAACATGGCCGGAACGCATTTCTCGATGGCGCGCGAGTAGATACCGCGGTACAGGTGAATGCCTACTAACAGGCTGTTTTCCGTAACCATTTCGAACCCGGCGGGAGTATCGACAATTTGGCAATCGAACTCTGAAAGGAACTCCTTGTCGGTCTCAGAGAAGCAGGGGTCTTGAAAGTAACACTGAACAGGCCCCTTGCTTTGCTCCCGAAGAGATTCCACCATGGTGACGAAGGCAGCAAATTGCACATGCGCTCGCCTCTTTGACTGCCACGACCCATCGGCGGGATCGAAAGAGCCAAGTCCCAAACATATGGCCTTGGCGACTGGAGGATACAAACATTGGGAAGCCATCAGCTCCTTGAGACGGCGATAGCTAGACGACTCCAGCCACTGCTTCTTGATTCGCTCATGATCTGATTGGACCTGAGCGACTGACAGGCCCGAGGATTCGGTGCCTTGTCTCAACGGAACGGAGGGTGGCCGGCGGAGCTGAGTCGCGGCCTTCTTCTTGGCCCCATTGGTTCTTTTGCTTGACACAAACGTCCAAGCTTCCTGCTCACCTGTTGGCTGATCAATCGATGTTGACGTCATTATGAATTGCCTCGTAAGCTCGGGTGCCGCAGTTTATTCTAAAGGCTGCAGTGTTGCCGTCTCAAGCGTCCCGTCAGGATCACTGGAATAGGACGGATGATTCGATGGTCGCTTAAGGATGGCTTCTTCTGAGGGTGTCAATGCGGCTCCGTGGACGACTAAACATGTCGACAAGAATCAAGGGGTATCCTACATCAAGCGACGCCTTGAGAACAGAGGGACTAGCCGATCATTCGCAATTCCAACCACATGGATCTTCGAAATCTTTGAACATGAGATTGAATATCTTCAAAATCAAGACTTGCCCCGCCATGGCCGAATATTTGCCGATGGGCCATGCTCCCTCCATGCTTCTAAAATGAGAGCGTGAAGTGGAATCTTGAAGAAAGCCTGACTCAGACATTTGCGACACAGCAGGTCGATACAGCAGGTCGACACAGCAGGTAACCATAGCAAAATCTCTCACTTTGTTCCGTCATTCTTGTCAACCTGCACCAGAAATATCCCTTCTTCGGTGGTGTTACCCCCGGAGGCAAATTTCTCCATCTGACATGCCTTGACTGGCACATTTGTCAACGGCGCAGGAAGCCGCGCAAGGTAACATCTGAGGACCTTTTTTTGGCCTGCAGTTGGCAGGTACAGCAGGTGCAAAAACCAACATGGAACCGCCCTTAGACCAACAACTCGAGACCCGACCATGCTTGCCTACCGTCAAGGTGTCGGTCAGCAAGCTATGAGGGTTACCTCATGCATGCAATCAGCAGGCAGCAGTCGTGGAAGGTTACGTCGGTGGTCGTGGCCGACTTTAACAGCTACCCAACGACCTGATCCTACACCTGGAATCCGAGCTAAAGGTCGGGCTGCTCTGCGCGAGGAAGTTTGCTTTTCAATCTTCGTTTTCGACGCGGCAGAGCAACGAAACATGCCTTCACCGAGGCGCGATGCGTGGAGACCAATTTTGCATCAGCGATGTTGCGGCGCCTTTGCATCAGCCCGGAACCTAAGCTGCAGTCAGTGCCATTTCAAATGACCCACCAGCCTGCTTCGTCTAGCGGCAGATGAAGTAGCATCTGCTTCTGTACTATATAACCAACTTCGAAATCGTCGCATTCGATGCCTTCCTCGCTGGCAAGAAACCAAGAAACAAGGGAATGTGGTCAGATGGAGCTACTGCGTACTGCATGAGTGGGCTGAACGGCATCAAGAACCCACGCACACGGCCATCGGGGGTGGCCAAAAATACACCCCACCAAACCACGACTGCCCTCTCACATTGGCTCCCAAACTTGTCGCCGGCGCTTATGCTATGCTATGCTACCTGCATCGTCCCACGCTTCTCACCACTCACGGAACTCGAGCCACGCTGCCCTTGCTGTGTAGCCCCGGAACTCCCCAGCCGTCGCTTCAGCCCATTGGTTACACTTCGGCGAATCAATGTCGTTGGCACTTTCATCCAGCGAGCCGCCCAGCCCGGTAAGCGTCCGCTGATTGGCCCCGCCCGATTAACGACATGGGACGGATCTTCGGCTGCACAACTGCGCACACCTCCCCGCCGTTTTGACTGGTCCGTCTGAGGCCAGAATGCCGCCCACGTTGATTGACCCTGCCCTCTTCGTCTAGCGGGGGCTGTCTTCTCCTCGATATTGGCCCTGCAGCTTCTCATGAGAAAATTGCCCATGCATGTCAGCGGTTGGTCGGTACGTAGACAGGCAAGCAGGTCCATATCTCCCATAATAATAATGCCTGCGCCAGCTCCTCAAGCGGCCTTCTTTCCCGCCATTTCCCCTTCTTCAGTGATTCCCACAGCCAAGATCGGTCCGGCACACTGCATATTATTACTGCCTTCTTGCATCTCTCAGCTACGACACCACGACGTACTGGAAAGAGCTTGCACAGTGAGCTGAATCGTGATCGAGTCGCCTTCTCCCACATTGAACAGCAAGGTGAAGTTTATTAAGACGTGTCCGTCGCAAACTACAAAGCACACAAGAGCACCGCAAGAGACAAGGACAGACGGATCGAAGGAATTGGTCGACACTTGACTCGGGTCGGAACTCGGGCTTCATCTTTTCTGGCCTTTGTCACCTACACATCAGCAAAATGCTGCCATCAGTATTCGTCACACTCGCCGCGGCGACGCTGGCATCAGCACACACCATTATCACGTATCCCGGATGGAGAGGAGACAACTTGATCACAAACGAGACCTTTCCCTACGGCATGCAATGGATGTATCCATGTAAGCGATAATATTTCTTCAATGTGGCCTGCCGCCGCTTCTCGATCTGCAACTCTGCAATGGATTCTGACCTGTGTATCTTAGGTGGTGGCATGGGCGTCACAACCAACCGTACCTACTGGCCGATAAACGGTGGAGCTATCGCGCTCCAGCCCGGCTGGTTCCAGGGCCATGCGACAGCATTCCTTTACATGAACATGGGATTCGGCACCGGCGGCCCTGACGGAGGACCTATCAACATGAGCTTCCCCATGGTGGCTCCGTTCCAGATTCTCGGCCCCAGCAAGAATCCCTACCCCGGCACCGTGTGTCTGCCGCAGGTGTCACCGCCGCCGAACATAACCATCAACGTTGGCGACAATGCCACGATCCAGGTGGTGGAACTGGCTGTTCACGGAGCTTCGCTGTTCTCGGTAAGTTAGATGCCCTTCTGGCACGATGTTGTGAAAGAGGCTAGGAAGCTAACCGTCTGGATAGTGCGTTGACATCACATTCGTTGAGCCACACGATGAGCGTCTCGCCCGTGTCAACGAAACCAACTGCTTCAACAGCACCGATATCGGTTTCGCCGATCTGTACACCATCACCACCAAGGCCATTGGCAGCACTGCCAATGCTACAACGAGCGGGGCCGGGGCTATCGCGGACTTAAGGTCCTCAAGCAGTTGGGCCTCGTGGCTAGGCTACGTGCCCATACTGGTTGGAGGCGTGTGGTACTTGCTGTAAGCCTAGAACTAAGAATGTAGACTTGCGGACGAACAGAACGGGGAAGCCGCCTAAGATGGCTGGATGAGCCCAAGGGGACATGGTCCTTCCCTCGCCAACGATAAGTGGGATGAAACGGTGTTAAGGAAATGTATATTGGCATCTATGTGGCGTTTGGAGATCCAGGTGCGGGGACGGTAATTTTTGTTTGCTGCCATTTTGGCCATCTTGTGAGGAACTCGGTTGTTTTCGACGATTAGGCGTCAGCAACAACTATCTATATACCACAGCAGGACACAGGTCTGCCGTACAAAATAGTAAAATATCCAATGAAGAGCGCAGACGTGAAGATGGGAGATGTCCGAAGGGGATAAAGGTCGCTAGACATGCTAGCCTGCTCCCAAGGTTCACCTTAGGAGGCAGTCTCCCCATCGCCCTTCCGCCGACGACAAGACCACCACGCCATCGTTACCATCTCGATGGAATTCCACCATGCAGCCGAACACTTCATGCCGCCCCGTACCTGCATTGGCGATACTCGAACCCACTGCCCAGTTGTCGAGTCGTTCCCCACCATGTCCAGCTAACGTGAACAGCTACATCCCTCTTTTTCTTTAGCTTGCGCATCCGCAAATCTCTTATGTGATCCAAATACCAAATCACACACCACAAACGCATCCCGTCCCAGCAGGCGCCGCACCACGTGTGGCCCCGACCAGCAGCGAGCCGTTTGTCGCACCTGCAGGCCTCGAAAGTGGCCGCCCCTTTCGCGGGCCAGTTCGCTGGGCTGCATCCATTTGATGTACGACAGACTGCTTTAAGGCTTGCCGCGTTCACCATGTTGACTATCATAAGGGAGTTCCATTTGAGTTTGAGAAGCTCGATTAGAGTTTCTGTTCCTGCAGATGAAGCTCCCAGGTTTATGCCGAGTGGCGTGGCATAGTGTGACACGATTGTGGATGGCCTGGGTACCTACGAACTCTAGTCGAGTAAATTGGCACCGTTGTTGATTGCGGAATGTGCTGATGCGTGTACAAGCGATCTTCCCTCCCACTTCCATCTGCGCTTCAGAAATCTCGAGTATATTTCGTTCCTCGTCGACTCTAGAGTGCAACAGTGATCACTATAACGTCAACTTCGGTATTTCGTTCAACTCGTCGAAAAGCAAGTAAGAACGATGAGACTTGGATGTGTTCCGAACCTTGCGGCGGCTGCTTGAAGCTTTCTCTATTGTCACTTGACAACACCACCTTCACAAGCTCCCTCAGACCTGCCGCCATCGAACGCGACAAGCAAAGAGCCGCTAAGGAAGGCTGTGATATCGATATCAACGGCAAGATGGTCATCTGGGCCACCTACTGCGAGATTTATGGATGGTAGATATACTCTGTTGCCACCCATTCACATCCCTTTCTGCGGCTACAGATGGACCCTGGAATACCTCGAGCGTACTAGGGGGTAAACGCGATATTGAGACAAGGAAATGTCTTCTTCATGATGAACCGCACACTCAGCCGACATCTGTGCTTCAAAGCTCCCGCGGCCACGATGGCAAGCTGGAAGTTCAGCTATTTCAATGACCTCCAGGCATCCGTAGCTCGGAGCAAGGTAAATACGGATCAACGAAATGATAATGTCGTGGAAATACCAATTGTAAACTGCTCCTGCTCAAGTAGAGAACTTAATTGGTGGTTCCTTCCGTACACATCTTAAGGCGCGTGTCACGACCAATAAGCGAGAAAAGACGTATCGGGTCATTGTTGTGTTTATTTGGTTTCTCTTTGGCGAGTCTACTCTAGTCATCATCTCGTTTATATCGGTCCGGTCGGGGTACGGATGTGTTGTGGTAAAAGGAGCCGGCGATCATCATGTTGCATAGATGGCCGCCTTCCGCTACCCAGCAGTTTTCCCAGTCCTGCACGAGACGTTAACCTCAAACATGTCTCGTGATCTCCCTGTTCGGCAGAGAGCGGTGAAGTCAAACCGCCATGAAGTTAATTTGGAGAAAGAAGGTAATCCACGGGGCACGGTGGAGTACACTGTCCTCATTCGGTTGGGATCTACCGTACGGGCCGCATATGTAGACGCTCTTGGACAGGAGATCCATTGCTGGTACAAAGTAATTGCCAGCACGGGGAATACTCTCACATAACGACTGCTCTATGCCCACCTCATACGCATGATCCGCCGCCATACGAGGTGCTTGTGTCACAGTATTCGAGTAGTACTCGAGTCGGGGTATTAAAGCAACGTAGCCGTGCCAATGGCTTTAGTCGGCTGACTTCTTGATCTGTAGACCCAGACGTGGTTGGCGGAGAGGCGTTCCCTATTCACTGCCGTTTTCGCCGTGCCACAAACCATATTTTCCCTCACAGTTTTTCCAGAGCTTGATGGTTCCGTCCTCGGAAGCAGTTGCGTACAGCTTGTTGTCAGGTGCGAAGGCAATGGACCATACAGGGCCGTGGTGACCTTTGTGGGTTTCTACAAGAAATTGTCAGCATGGAAGAAGTTATAGCCAGGATGATCGAAGACACATACCGATGAGAGAGTCATCATCCCAGTTGTATACCAACGCCCAGGTTTTGGGGGTATCCTGACCGACAGCATACTTTCTACCCTTCAGATCAACAGCGACGCTGGCCACCGGGAAGTCCACCTTGGTCGTCTTGAGCTCATCCATGGCCTGCGGACCCCCCAGAAGTAGACGCACTTGCCGGCAGCAACAGCTAGTACGGGCAGTCCGTCACCGATATCACCGCTCGATCGGCAGGAAGGATCCGATGCATTGAATTCACAGCTTCCAATCTCACCATCAAGAACCTGTGAACGGGTGACGCTTTGCGAGGGCAAATCGAACCATCGTAGGGTGTTGCCCGAGGCCGTGACGAGGGTATTTGGGTCTCGAGTCCAGACTATGAACTTGATGAAAGCCGTGTGTTCGCCGGGGCAGATCTCAAAGACGGTACTAGCGTTTGTGTCAATGGTGGTGGTTTCGACGGTGCCGGACTCGTCCAACTTGGGTTTCTCGGGGACATCCCAAATGCGCAGCTTCTTCTCGTAGCCACCAGTGGCCATGATGTTGGTATTGTCGGGCGGATAGGCCACGGCGCGTACAATGTGATTGTGCTGAAGGGTGTAGAGGCACTCGCCGCTGTGGGTGTCCCAGATCTTGGCGGTGAAGTCGGCGCTGCCGGTCGCGGCATGGGAAGCGTCGGGGGAGAGACGAGCCTGCCACACGGCTCCTTTGTGGCCTATGAAGGTTCCTATCCAGTCGCCCGTCTGGCCGTCGCGCAGCATGGGGTTGTTGTCTTTGCAGGCTGAGATGAGGTAGTATTCGCAGCCATCTTTGTTGGTCAGGGACGAGAAAGCAATGTGAGGAACGGGTCGCGAGTGGCCGTGACAGGTCAGAGGTTGCGCTCGGGGTGGTGCGTCAGCCATAGTCACAGTCAATTGTTCGGCAGGCTGGTGTCGTCGGGATTGCGATCGAGGGTACACGTAAAGTTGGTGATGGGAATCTTGTTGCTCGACGGGTGCAGGACGGTCAAGCGGGACAATGTCAATGATGCGATGTCTTTGGCAGATTGTTCCAGGTCCAAGGAGTCTTTGAACAATGGTTTGTCGATGCGCCTAATTGAGCGGGTTGGGTATAATACGCGAAGTTGCAACGATCTCGGTTTTGGGCTGCCCATATGCAACTGCTTCGGTCATGATCTGAAGAAATAAAAGTCCCTGCTGCTTCGAAACAAGGGTGCAAGAGCCCGCGCCTGACCGAGCTTCACCTTGACGGATGGCGGGGTAGTCTGCTTGCCCGGCGGTTAATTCCCACACCTGGTAATGAACTGGAATTACTACACATGTCCTCAACGCCTAGAGAACCAAGGTGGTCTAACACTATTACGAATGGTTCACTGGGCCAATCCTGCGAGATCATGGACGGTCGAACTACCGAAACCATAGAAACTGTACACATAGACTACAAAAGGATGGCGCGGGAGAAATGTGTACAGCAAAACAAGGCTGTAATAGTGTAGAGTAGCCCGATATTCCAGTCCAGGAGTAGCAAATATAGACTCAAGATGTAATTCGATTATTCTGCGTACTGGAATGACTTTTCCGGCATCCTCTTCAGTAATTAGTATTACGTATAACTAGCTAAAGTGCAGTGTATCTATACACAGAGTAGCTCATTCGTCTTGCCAAAATGTCGTGTCATCGTACGAGGGTAGTGCGTCATGATAGCATTCATAGTGACATTCGGGTTTTTGTAGGGAATGAATGATACCTAAATATAGCTTCATACAAGAACATCTTGGAATCATAACCTATAGTTGTGTGTGAAAGATGCCTGCGATTCTGCTATCCGCCGTTGCGGAAATACGACTGTCGCTACAGTACTTTGGTAGGGTGTGGGAATTGACACTTGACTGCATGCAGATCAATGATAGCATGGGAAGGTGGGGTGGAATGGTCCAAGCTCCCTGCTTCCAACACCACGTACAGTACCCCAAACGCGGCGATTCGAATTCGCAATGAACCGACACAACCATTGACAATTTCTCTTGACGGCTTTTGCTCTTTTCTGGCCCTTATCTGTTTGACACGAATCTGCCTTCCACACATACCATCCGTCCCACTGCCCGGTGACCGCTGACAATTGCCTACCGTCTATAGGCCATGGCGGACTTCAAGCTGTCGGCGCAACTCGCTGGCCACAATGCCGATGTAAGCAAAGATCCTGTTGCCTGGGCCCTGTTTGCCTCCAATGTTGGGCGCACCGCAATATTATCCAGTTTTACTAAAGTCTCATAACAGGTTCGAGATCTCGTCTTCCCGTCGGACGACCTTCTCTTCTCAGCTTCGAGAGATCACACCGTTCGAGCATGGCGCCGCACGTCGTCATCTCCGCCCGAGTTCGAGTTTACTATACTTAACCAGATCCATGATTACATTAACGCCCTGGCCTATATCCCTCGGTCTGCCGATTATCCCGAGGGTCTCGTCGTGTCGGGAGGCAAGGACCCATGTCTTGACGTTCGCAAGACCACGGCCGTATCCGGAGACAACGCCGAACGTCTGCTGCCGGGCCATGCCAACAACGTGTGCGCCTTAGCCGTTACCCCAAGTGGCAAGTACTTTGTCTCTGGCAGTTGGGACCACACTGCAAGAGTATGGAGTTCCGAGAAGTGGGACACCGACATATCCCTGATCGGCCACGAGGGCGCCGTCTGGGATGTACTACCGCTGAGTGACGCCGTGGTTGTGACAGGATGTGCCGACAAGAACATCCGCATATTCGATCTGAGAAAGCAGTCCGCCGGCCAGGCTGAAGCCAGATCCACTATTTACACACCCGACGTAGTACGCGGCCTCTGCCGAGTGCCCGCCGGCCATCCTGCCGGTGCCGAGATTGCCAGTTCACACAACGACGGAGTCATTCGCCTCTGGAAGTTGACGGGCCAGCAAGTCGCCGAACTTCGGGGCCACGAGAGCTTTGTCTACCGTCTGGCCGCTCTACCGTCCGGTGAGCTTGTCAGTGCCGCCGAAGACCGGACCGTCCGAGTCTGGAGAGGAACAGAGTGCGTACAGACCATTACGCACCCGGCCATCTCCGTCTGGACCGTTGTGGCATGTCCGAACGGGGACATCGCTTCAGGTACAAGTGATGGTATCGTCCGCATCTTCAGTCGTGCAGCCGAGCGTGTTGCAAGTGCCGACGTAATCCAAAACTTCGATGAAGCTGTCAAGTCGTCTTCGATACCGCAGCAACAGCTTGGTGATATCAACAAGGAGAAGCTGCCGGGGCCTGAATTTCTGACAACAAAGGCAGGGACCAAAGAGGGCCAGGTGCAGATGATTAGGGAGGATAATGGCTCAATATCCGCCCATACTTGGTCTTCGGCCGCACAATCCTGGATTAACGTGGGCACAGTTGTCGATTCCGCCGCCAGCAGTGGCCGCAAAGTCGAGCACAACGGCAAGCAATGGGACTTCGTCTTCGACGTCGCTATCGAGGAAGGTCAGCCGTCCCTGAAGTTACCGTACAACCTCTCCGATAATCCGTATGACACAGCGACTAAGTTCATCAACGACAACGAGCTTTCACTCAACTACCTTGACCAAGTCGCCCAGTTCATTGTACAGAACACGCAAGGGGCAAGCCTGGGACCATCTGGAACCGGTGGTGCAGATCCATACGGTACTGAATCTAGGTACCGGCCGGGCGAGGAGCAGGAGAGCTCGAGAACGAGCGCGCTGCCGCAGAAGGAATGCCTCAGAATAACGGCGGCCAAGTTCGATCGTGAGTTACTGCTACTTTGCCCTCCCGCTATTTACTCACTCCTCTATTCTAACACATCCACAGCCATGTTCAAGAAGATCTTCACCGTCAACGATGCCCTCGTAGCGGCTGGTCGCAAAGATATTTCCTTGAACCCTTCAGCCAAGGCTTCCCTCTCTTCCCTTCGCCAGGCCGTTGAATCCAACAGCCCCATGACTCCCGAGCACGGGGACGGAATCTCTCTCGTAGCTATGATGTGCCTAAATTGGGACTACAAAGACCGCCTGGCACCTCTGGATCTTTGGCGGTGCTGTGCCACCAGCCCACTCCTCGCCAGATACACCGCCGCAAATGGGCCGGTCTCGATTGCCATTTCGTCTGCGCTGAACGACTCCGACGGGCAACTGAACGAGAATCTCGTCATGATGGCTCTGAGGGCAATCGTGAACCTTTTCGGGTCTCAGCAGGGCTGGACGGTTGTTACCAATCAGATGGAGGCTGTCGTTACATTCCTCGAGCGTACCCTGGGCCTTGATGGCTCAAATAACCAGGCTATTGGACCGTATAACCGGAACTTACTGATCGCCCTGACGACAGTCGCCATCAACTACAGCGTTCTAGCGATCAAGAAGAAGGCCCATCTTCCCGAAGATGCTCAAATCCGCTTAGTCAAGGCAATAGCGCACGTGCTAGATAACCAAACTGACAGCGAAGTGGTTTTCCGCGCCCTTGTTGCGGCAGGCACCTTCGTCGTTGCAAATCCGGCAGTCAAGGACCAGGTTCAGGGGCTGGAGATGGCCTTGAAGAAGGCCAAGGACAGGGGCACGGAGGTGAGAGTCAAAGAGGTGGCTGATGAGTGCCTGTGTGCTCTGTAGTCTGGAGGGTGGGATAATATGGGATAAACGCCGGGATAAAACGGGGTAGCATAGCATAGCCGGCGTTGCTTTATAGACTATTCCAGTGAACGAACAGTCACGTGCGTTGATCATGGACTCGAACAGAAATACCTGTTTCTTTCCTTCATTTTCTCCTTCCCCCATTTTTGAAGCTGATCTGGACCCTTTAGGGCCGTTTCACCGTCAGCGGTGCGTAGATCAGCCACAGCGCCAAGTGCCTCCAAGACTTCGGTGCATTCGCCTCTATAGACGAATTTGTGTCTGTTCGACGGCAAAGGCTTCGATTCCTACCACCGAATCGACGGTCCCATCGCACTAGAGAACCCACGAATAAGACACCTATTCCCAGCATCTTAGCAGCATGTTCAGCCTGCCCCGAGCCACAATGAGAGATTCGTGTTGGATGGGATGCTCAATGCTTGGAATTGTGCTTCCAATGGTGGGCTCAAGTTGCCTTTTCCAATAGAACAGGCCCCCACTGACATGACTACAGCCCCGAGACGCGTTTACCACAGGTATGATTTATCAAAGCTGCCCAATCCAGTAACGTTCATTGCAGCCAGAACGAACGCCTTCTTCTTAGAGCCCCGTCCTGCAAGGCTACTCTTTCGGTTTGGTCTCTCACCCCCAAGTGTTTCCGAAGTTTCATTTTCAAGCTGGGAACGCCCCTGTTCAGCTGTATTCCTTTTTAAAACTCACCGTGATGCAACGTTAGACTCCTATTGGGACATATGTCGAGATGGCCAGCCGAGTACTGAGAGTACGCGATAGAAGGAATAGGGAAAGCAGCACGTGGAAAAGCTACATTCCGTGATGATCTTGACAGAAGACATTGTGCTGGGCAACTAGTCGTCTCACTGAGTTATCAGTGCACTAAGCTATGTTGCGCGGCATGCAACCATTCCCTGGGGACAGCTTTATCATCACGAGCATGGCCACTTTGTACATCAATATTGACCTTCTCAGCATGCCGTATCCTGTGGAGACCTCGAAGGGGGAGGTTGGTAGGCTTATTGGACGCTTTCTTCAAAGCGGTGTTCATCGTCTGGGGCAACTATCCCACGCAGAGCAGATCAAGGCACCTGCCCCAAGTTTTGTGCACCAATTCGGGATGGCGTTCTTTGATTGAAAGGGATATTGAGTCCACAACGTCTCAGGCCCAACGATGTTTTGAGCTCACAGCCCAAGTTGATCACACCTGGACGTGGAACACTGGCAACGGATATTACAGCTCCACTTACTTGAAGATATGATTTCAACAGCTTTGGATCGCAGCTTCCGTTAACTGGGAATATACTTGACACTCCGTCTCCTTTACCGTGATAGAAATCGTGACATTTTTGCTCTTCATAGAAGCATCAAGTGCATTGGGAGTCAAGCCTAAGCTTGTTTGTATTTGCGCCCACACAATTATGTGACAGCAAATGATCTGGGCCCACAAACACCAACATCGCGACTTCCGTCTCTGTTTATATCCACCAGCGTTGCTTCCAAATTTGGACTTGTAGCTGCTACCATTGAATACGCTCGGGATAATCTTAGGGGCCCTTAGGAAGGTAGCGCCACCCGTTCACTCAGGTCATCGGCGACAACAGCGACGTGCCTTCCATCTGGTGCACCCAGAAAGACAGTTAACTTATGTGTGCACTTTGCGCCGTCCCAAATGTTGTGCGCAACACTTCCATCTCTTCTCCCACCTGGACGATCAACATCTACAATCGTCGTAATTGACGACTGGCAGTCGCAGCAACATCGTTGATTGCTTCATCTGTTGGTTCAACTACAACACCAACTCATCTCCTGTTTGGTAAACATCCTTAGTTTCCTCTCTGATGCACCGCGGAGGTCGCCGTCCACCACAGCTTCCAAGTTCCCAGCACGGTAAGACCCTACTCTCTTTTCCTTTCGTTGCCGGAGCTACTGAGATGATTGGACGCTGACAGCAGTTTGCAGTGACTGCTCACCTACCTTCACCAAACAATCTACACTTCTTCCGTCTCAGTTGCCACGAGCGATCACCCAGCTGATCATGCCTCCCAATAACAGACGCAAGCTCCCCGAGGAGTACTCGACCAATCCGAACACGATCCGCGCCCGAAAGCGAAAGGCAGGACTGTCGCCGTACGCTAGGGAGGTCGAGCAAGCCAAGGCATCGGATTCCAAGGCCGTCACAAGAGCTTGGAAAGCACGTATCGAAACAGAAACGTACAAGATGACCGATTCCGCTGGTCGCAAGATAATTTTAGAGAGTGTAGAGAAGGATGTCATGAAACGACGGCAAGCACTCCTCACGCCGCCCCGTATCCCGCACCGTCACTGACACGACATTTATCCCAGACGACAGCAAGGCCTCGATGCCGACACCAAAATCAGTCGCTTCATCCAGCGCATGAGTATGGCACCTGTCTCCCCCAAACCAGAGAACGTCGACCCTGCACTGGGCTCCATGGCACCGCCTCCCACGCCTGTCTCGGCCATGCAACCCATTGCTCAGATGATGCCGCCCACGTCTTCGTATGGGGCTCACCAGTCAACGGTAAGCACCCCAAGCCGACACGCCACTCCGGGCCCCATTCTCCCCTATCCCGTACCCAGCATCGAGCGGGCCAACGAGTTTGCGAACCATCTGCCCGTTACACCTTCTCCGCTTTTCCACCACGAAGCCGATGGCGCTACCAACGATGCTTCTCTAGTCACGCGACTACAAGGTGAGGTCGCTTCTTATGCCTCACAAAATGCTGCTCTGCAACGCGACCTTGAAAGCACCAAGCGTCGAGTCACGCAACTGGAAGGAATGATCGAGATGCTGAACAACGATCTGGTCACGTCGAAGGGCTGCATTGCAGCTCAGGAATCGCGTCTGGAGGATGTGAACATCCGCATGAGTGACTACGATGGCACCGCTGCTGTTTTGCGCAATGCAGAGTCTGATTTCGAGAACCAAGCCGAGAAACTACGCCGTATCGTGGCCGGTGTAAAGATGATTGCCGACGTGACCTGTCGTGTCGCCACAGAGCTGGGTCAAGGCGCAAGAGGCAACAACCCCGTGACCGAGTCGACTGGTCATGCTAATGGATTCAACGGTCATACTAACGGATCCAGAGAGTACAAACCTGAAGTCAACGGCTTTTCCAATGGAAACAATGATGAAGTTAACGGCGTCAAGTCAGACCACGACGATTTATTCTCGGGGTAGATGTTTCCGGCACATGGAGCGATATCTGCATGGAATGGTAATTCGATGCATTCTCAGTAGAACAGGTGCATGGTTATGCGATGAATTATGCGGCATTTGAAAAAGGGGTTATACCGGAGACGAGACTATGATGAGCTGTTTCTGGTGTATTATGTGCCGGAAGGATCCGTTTATTCAACGTTTCACACAGGCTCATCAACTTGATATCGCATTTCAGAAACTTAAGTTCCCAATTTCCTTGCCGCTTACTTATCCTCTGCCTCAAGGCGACACGAAAAAGTTCATCTGGAAATTTCGAGCATGGTGACCGCCGTCTACAAGCCTCTATCTCGCTCGCGTCAGACATGAAGCTAAGCGAAAGCAGACGTCATGGGAAGACCTTCTCCGATGGAAAACTATTCTGTTCAGTGCTATATCACGCGTCGAGTGTCCCCTCTGGTTTCAAAGCTGGGTTCAATAACATCGCTTTTCCATAATTAACTAGAAGGAGCCGATACAAGGGAAACCCCGCCTGCGACACCAAACATGCCCCGAGCCGATCAATGAATACCTTCCAAATATCTGATCGGAACTTGTTGACTTGCCATAGAGTTAAGATGATGATCCTGCTTACGGGTTTGATTTGACTCCAGCCTGATGCGGCCAATTATTGGGGCCCCAGATTCTCAACTTCACACGCGCAACAAGCCAACGCATGTAGATCAAACTGCGAACTAAGAATGACGGGCACTCCTAGATTGCCTGCAATCTTGAATTTTGTAATTCCGTCACGAAAGATTGCAATGTAGTAGCAAGCCTCTCTCATGTACTTGGTAGATCCACGCCAGGCCTATGAGACATTCTCAGCAACTTTCTGTAAACCGTCGACAACCTGAGCTCGAATCGCCTCGTACAGTATCAAGCGTCCATTGTGTCATCAGCACGTTGAAATTTCCCCGTAAACTCTTGAGCACAACATCTTTACAATTCTCTGTGTGGTGTACATATAATAAATACAAGATGCTTCCTGACTGACGCCTTCAGGCCTTTTTTCATTTAGCAGGGCCGAATTACTCCAGTTTTAATCCTGGTTGGCATAGTCGGTCCGTCCCTGCTTCGCTTTTCTGTCTTGAATTTTTACGATCACAAAACAAAGTTCTATTCAACGTCAGCTTGTTCGGGAAGAAGTAGAGCGTACAGTTGACCAGCGTTAGAAAAAGTTGGCTAGGGGTAGAAATTTGTGGCGCAACAAAGTTGATCAGGGTCAAAAATATGTCTAACCCTGGCCGAGTTTTTGCTAAGGATAGCTTATCAAATTAGGTATAAAGCATAGTATTAGACTTTTGTAGTATCGTATATGCAAAATGTATGCATCCGTCTCCCAAGTGCATATATTGTGTATATCAGATACTATACTAGTACGGGTATATATACTCTTTTGACTTAGGGATAACGTGAATGTACACCGAGCTGGCCATGACACCGAGCTGGCCACTTTCATGCGCCAACGCGACCGGCTAACTTAATGTTTGATTTTCTCAACAACCAATTATGGCAAAGTCATACAACGAAGCAGACTTAATGCTAGCCCTTCAAGCTCTCAAAAATGACCAAAAACTTAGTCTCCGACAAGCGGCAAAAACGTACCAAGTCCCCCGAAGCACCCTCCAAACGCGTAAAAACGCGCCCGAGGCGCTGTGGTATTTGCAACGGGACTGGGCATAATGCGCGAAGTTGTAACATCGCATTGCCATCTTCTGGAGAGGAAGATTCAGAGTAGTTTCAATTGATTTACGGCGTTGTGGTTTTACTCTCGTAAAATTTCTATGCGAGGTTATGTAAGGGTGGCCAGCTCGGTGTCATGGCCAGCTCGGTGTCATGGCCAGCTCGGTGTACATTCACGTTACTTGTACTAATTTAACTAGATATTAAAAAACAAATAATCTGCTCCTTTTTGCGTTATGAAAGGAGATTGATCCAAATGTGATAAAATTACCACCAAATTTCTTTTTAGACGTAACAGCATCACGTATCCCCTTTTTACCATTTGTAGCTATATTACCTACTCCGCCAAAATGAGCGCTTGTTGATTCCAGAAGTGGTAAATTTTTCGTGCATACAAAAGTTTGAAATATACGTTGGACTTCTCAACCTGTTATAGCTTTAGGAATTTTTCTTGTTCTAATCATGAGAGACCCTTCGCCATGTATAAATCCAGCTATAAATCGACGACTTGATGAAAACAAAACCCCCGAGCTGCTAGATCTTGAACTTGAAGCAAATGATTTTGCAAGGCCAAACTGAAACCTCTATTGAATCTGCTAGCTGCACTATATAAATCTGTATGATAGCTGTTACTTGCTAATAAACTACCACCGCTTTGCCAGATATACTGCGCGGGATGGGGATCATGTTGAGCTGGGAATCCGTCATACCGAAACATTCTTTCGCACAGCGTAGTGTCATCATTCGCAGTGCATAGTTAAGTTACAGGCACTTGAAGCAACCCTGGCAGGCGGGAATGAATAGAAAATGGTCCAAATTGACAGGAAACAAGATATAGTATCGGAGGATCTGGAAGATTAAGGACGCGGAATGGTGGCTGAGCAAGTTCTCCTTGCCAAATGGAGCTAAGGCTTCCGGCTCTTGTTCCATCAAGTCTTGACGCGGGAGATCTTCGATGATTGCTTCGGCTGTCACGCAGACTAGTGAAATTCGGAGAGGGACCGGAAGTCAAGCAGGCCGGGCTTTAGAAGGAGGATCTTGGCGGATGACTTGCCAAGGCGGCCAAGCGATGACCGAGTACGCTCCTGTATGATGGTCGAGGCTCGGGCGGGGGTGAGACTGCGGGTCATCAACTTCGGCTTGATTTTTTTGGTGGCCTCGATTGCGGGCTGCAACATCATGTAAATAGGGATGGATTATATGTGCGGCGTAGCGGAGAGAATAGGCTGCGTCGTGGACATATTCGGAATGGAAGGTTAGAAAACTTCAGAAGGTGCAGTTAAGAGTACTCTGCTTTAATAGTTTCAAATTTTGGAGGTGTCCTGAGAAGAAGGGGCAATGAAGTTGTGAGCCGAATGACCAAACTGCAGATGGTATGGAGAAGCACGTACTGTGCAACGCAGTATTTGTGAAACAGCCACTATAATATAATCACCCTAGCAAGCATGCTCTTTAAGTCAATAACCATCATATTAGAAATATATGGTGTGTGTAGTTACACAGGAGTATGATAGCCAAATATGTACGCAAGCTATTCAACCAAAAGGGGGATGACACCAACGCCCAACTTCCTCTTGCGCCGAACCCTCAGCACTGCAGCGCGCAGAGGAAAACAAACAAAAGCGTCACAAGAACTTCTCCTAACCATCGCGCTTACCTCGACAAAATCCGAGTTCTTATGATTGATCGCTATTGCCTGAAGGTCAGCTGTGCGCGCTCTCATGGATCACGGCGGCGGGATTGTAGGGGTACTTACAGAAGTGCTAATGTCAAATCACCGTGGATACGCGCCTTGAGGGTAACTTCAACCTCAAGGTTAAGATCCAATCGCAATCTCAGCGTGTCACTGCCGCCGCCTCCACCGCCTTGCTGTTGCTGCATTTGTTGCTGCTGCTGCTGTTGTTGTTGCAGCATCTGTTGTTGGGGCTGTTGCTGCTGCCGCTGCCTCTGCAAAGATTGATTCTGCTGGCGACCGCGACGGCGGCGCTGGGGTGGCGGGGGCTCATAGTCCTCCTCGGCACTATCTTCGTCGAAGTCGTCAGAGTCCTGCTCTTCCTCGGACACTTCCTTGACGGGGGCTTTGCGCGACAGTTGGCGACGATTGCGCGGGGCGCGGCTGGCTGGCTTGGCTTCCGACGAAGATTCGGCCTGCTTGACATCTGCCGGGCTGGTCGACATGGCAGATAGTAGTGATGGTTGATGTTATGACCGGATAGGTGGGGGAACTGATGTTTGACTCGGGCTATGGTATAGTTCGTGGCAAAAACGGCGATATTTTGCAGGCGGCGGAATGTGTGGAATGGAACTAGAGACGGAACCGCAATACAAGCAACTAGAGATGGATTATTTGTATCGCCAGACTCGATGACAAAAACAAGATATTGATCCCGTAACCCAACCTGCAGGATGCTCTCGAATTCGGTCATGGCTTGCGAAGTGCACGTCACTGATGATGCCAAAACCGGGGTCCCCCAGTTGGGATGCGAAACCGGATTTAGCCTACCTTCGTCATGTGGATATGGCGGGTAAGGATCTGCGTCTAAAGCTGCATGAGACCGTTAATCTCTGATCGAGATGTGACAGTGGCTTCGACGGGGGGGGGGGCTGGTTGGTTGGTATCCCTGCCAGCGGTCCAGACTCCAGAGCATTAGTGGGGTTGTGCTGACATCATGGCCGAGCCGCAACTGTTAGACGGGGAATCGGTGCCGTCAAAACCGAATAGTATCAGCCCTACAGGTTGCCCACTCTATTCCTGGAAATTTTCGCTCTGGGCGGGGATTGCGCCACACATCGAGATGAACTGAGGGGCGAGTCCAGGGCTGCTGCTTACGGCTACTTTCATCTTGAGCTCTGAGCGTTAGTGGTTGAAGGTTGCCTTCATACTTCAAACTCTCGATGGTTTTCTCTGCAGGCTAATAACACGGGCACGAAGAGCAGACTTTCGTTGTGGAAAGTGGACGATGGTTGCTTACTGAAGTACATCACTGCGATGAAGTATAACTAGCACTAGCGAAACTAGGTGCGATCAAGGTTTTGGTCGATGTTTTATACAAGGTCAAACCCAGACCAAACCACTCAGCTGGCGCGAATTTACGGCTCGTCGTAGCCTCTCACTCGCAGCCCTAAAAGCAACGCGGATGTCGTCGAGGGCCGACTGCGCGAATCCAGTTTCGAAACGTTCCCTCGCCCTTTCTCTTTCCGCCGTGAACTTGTATTCCGATTTCGAGGCGCGACATACTTCGTCCACTGTAGAACTAGATAGAACCCATGTTATACTATGGACTAGAAGTCTGTTCCAATGGAACACAAAAGAATCACCCTCCATAAGGATTCTAGACAAGCGCAGAACATTTGACATGTGCTACGTCCATGGAATATCGGGCAGGTGACTAAGGTGACTGATCAAATGTCATTTCCTACAATGTGTAATAGCAGGACTATTGCAGGAGCTGAAGCTCACGCATGCTATTGCGCTTGAAACACGAACTAAACCATCCAATAAATTCAAAGCGCACATCTCATAAAGCCCCATCCATCGTGTTTGTAGCTTATTGAATGCAGTATTCCTAAATTAAAGGTTAATATAGAAGTGAGACCAGGGTAAATGTTTCACATCCCGCTTTCGGGTCTTTAAGGCATGGACACGTATTGGTTTGCGACCAAAAAAAGAAAAAGAAAAAGCCTGCGCACAAATAAGGCAGGAGATATGATTGTATTGACCTAGGATAAGCTTGAGAATTCAATGATCAATTGAATTGAACCAATTACTGCTGCTGTTAGTTCCATCAAACATCATAGGGACGAAGTTACCTCCAGGGCAGGAGACTTCGTATTTTACATGAGAATATAGTGGTTTTTCGATGATAGTTTTGGCCAAAACATAAGATTATAGTCGTTTTGGGTATGTCTACGTGTCGTACCTGTACTTCGATGGAATCACTCATGCTGCGTGGTCTATGAAGCTTATGAGCTATGTATTGGTACCTACCACTTATCATAAAATGGGGCATAGCTGCTAAGCACTGCCGCGAGGGCCGCTACTATCCCAAATTCGATTTCTGTTTCCTGGTGAATATTATTTGACAGTCTTACTATCATAGTTCCAACTTTATCAACATCTTAAGCTTCTTTCACCCTTATACTTCCCACGGAAACTCAAGTCGATCAAGACGCCCCGTAAGGCTGGAATAAAGTGGTGGCGAGTCGCTTTGGGTTCGGGGAATATCGTAGCTAGAAGCCATTAACACCAATGGTCAGATAAAGATCAACAGGTATGGTTATCGTCATGTTTCCTTGGTAGTGGAGTATGGGAGGAAATCTTGAGATAATAAACTCGACTGCCTTCCTTGAGCCCGAAGATGTGGTTCTGGCTGAGATATCGGGGGTAACTCAACGTTACGTGGCTCAATCCTTGGACGGTGTCATCTTCTAGAAATGGAATAATTGTTATTGGGTAGAGTTTCAGATCAAGCATAATCAGAGTAAGACGACCATAGGATATGAGACTCACTCCCAACATTTACTTCAGTGATTGAGAACTCTTCCCGGAAGAAACAGCTCTTGAAAGTAATGCTGGTTGATACGGCAACTAATGGTGTTATCTTTCCCACGGGCTTCTGCTTTCGGGTGAACCTGCAATAACACGTGAGGATTTGAGAAGGAAAGCATCAATATTCAATGCGTTTCCTCAACTAGGGGTATCATAGCGCCCTCGCCACCAATACCTGGACGACATGGTTGTGTACCTATTTTGCGGAGTTGCCCCCAAACCAGGCAATCAGATACTCATGAAGCCGCCCAACACGTTCATTATTCAGATTTATTAACCTTGTTTCTTGTACTAGCGTTATGCAACCTTGCGAATTCATTCCAGCGGTCGCTTACGCCCCCACCTTTTCACCGCTAAGTCAGCTTGCTGACATTATCCATACCACAATCACCTTCGGCCCCTGATACGAGTTTCATTTCATATGACTTTGCTAGCAACTGGCGAGCTTACTTGAATTCAACTTGGTTACGTTCTCCCTGGGAGTATCAGGAGTCGCCAACTCCTGCGGCATCCAGAAGATTGAAGCTTTCACATGATGCGGATTCTCGAAAGAGTTTCGATCCCTATCACAAAAGACAGGAAATCAGAGAGAAGCAACTAGGAGGAATAAGTTTCAATATCCTCGACAGGTATCCTCGACAGAAAACCGCGACGTAGTCACAAGCTACACACTTGTATTGCTTACCTAACTATGCATCTACAACTGCTCACTGCGTGCATTAGTAGTCCATTCAACTAACCTGGAGCATGTAAGAACATCTGCTAATATGCCTCGTATTCGCAGTTGGCCATCATGAAATCTACAAGTCCCTGCATGGGAAACCCGCGACCCACTATACTCGAATGATTTGTTAAAGGACTCTGCTGGCTTTCATGATCAAGGCTGCGCTAGTATGGCGTAGAACTGGCGCACAGCGGAGGAGATTTACTGATAGCGGGAGGAGACCTTAGCTATTGTGTATCCGTCGGTCATGGGGATTGATCACGGTCACAGCTGAAACCGGAGGACACTGATATTAGGGAGTGTATTGCCTTTAGTTGTCCCGCCTTTTCCAAATCACCTGGGGCCATTCCGCACGGGCTAGATTGGCTTTGAGGACAGGCAAGTAACCGGTCCCAACAACAGAACTATGTCAGGATGCAATGAATACTTCATCCCCGAGATATGGGGCATGCGAGCTCTGTAGAACCGAAATCATCCTGGTGATGACTACGACAATAGGGAGAATGAGCGAAACGCCGTATATGGCCCACATATCCAATCTTCCACGGGCCCAGAGACCGATATGATGAACGCGTCGATGGATGCAGTCGGTTTCAAAATGTTGGGTGTTGTATATCGCCAACCGGCTTCCGCCGGACGAACGGTCTCAACGGATCATTGGTTTCGTCAATACACACTCACTCATCATGGTATCGGTGTTTGTGATGTTTGCGTGCTTGGTGATGTTGGCTACACAGGGGCTGCAAAAATGCGGAATCATCTTTGTCGTTAGTTGAAATCACTCCACTGAACTGTTATTTCCACAAACGGCCAGTCGCTAGCGTCCTGTTAGTTGGTCGTTGGGGCGGCAAACAAATTCTTGGCATCGACGCTTATACCTGAATACCGGGTGAACGGATAACTCTAGCGCCGAATCCAAGTACAGAGCCATAGAAAAGGTGGTGTCACAGGTTTTTCCAGTTGTTTTAGTCGGCTTTAACCGAAACTGTCAATGGCAAGTTACATGGTTTTCTGGTTACCAGCTCCGGATATCAACCTCCTTTCCCCCCAACATCCAACGGTCTACGACTTGATTTTCTACCACCAGTAAGTTCCAGGAGAAGAAGCTGTTCTCAGAAGGGCTTATGTTGGTGCAGTTGCCGACCTCTGACGTTGCTGGCTAGGGTGAAGCCTCCAACCGGTGTTGGTGTCGCCATTCCGGTATCCAGGGTCAGGAAACAACGAACTATAACTAGTCATAACCTACGAGTGTTGAACCGCATGCGGCGATATATTGGTCATGCATTAGTTTGATGAGTTGGGGTTCTTTGCAGGTTGAAATTTGCGAGCTCGACATATAAAGTATTGTATCAGAGCACCACATGTTTCGCAAGGGCAAGTCAGCAATACACCAATCATGAAATTCGACACGCAGGACCTTGCTGAGATCGGAGGGGCGAAGCTTCCACGAGTTAAAGGTTCAAAGGAGAGGAAGTATAATGTACTCATACATGACGAAGGAACAACTTCTGTTCTCGATGCTTGTGGCGGAGCAGCAGTTGCCTGCCTTGGTACCGGTGGAACTCCAGAAATCGAAAGGGTAAAGAGAGCAGTGCGAGTTCAGATGGAAAACAGCTTCTACATTGCGCACGCGTTTGCCGGTTCAGATCCCTGCGATCAACTGTGCGAAAAGTTGCTTGCATCTGCAAATGATAAAAACAAGGGTGGAGCTGACGAGAAGATGTCACACACATTTATTGTCAACTCCGGTTCGTTCTCATGGTATTCTTCAATACGACCTGGCCGTACTGACAACGATAGGTTCCGAGGCGGGCGACTCAATGATGAAGTTGGTGTGGCAGTATTGGCACTCACGTGGCAGAGAATCGGAGAGAAATATATTCCTCTCGCGAGAGTCGTCGTACCATGGTAATACCATTGGGGCACTTTCCATTAGTCATTTTCCAGCTCGACAAGATCAGTACAAGAGATTGCTCCTGCAGAATTGCATCAAAACCAGACGCTATTATCCGTACCGAGACCAGAGGCATAATGAGACGGAGCTAGAGTACGTAAACAGAATGGTCGACGAACTCATCAAGATATTGGACTCCGACGAATGCAGCACTAAGCCAAAGAGGGAGAGAGGGAGTGAGACGGGAGGTGACAGGGTAGCTGCTTTCATTTTAGAACCTGTATCTGGTGCTGTAAGTCTTTTTATCCTCTTCATCCCACCAGTTTCGCGCTAACACAGCTAGGCACTAGGTTGCCAGCCCGCAGGGGCCACTTACTTGAAGAAGGTGAAGAAGGTTTGCCATGATCGTGGGATATTACTTGTGTACGACGAAGTCATGTGTGGGTTAGGCCGTACAGGATACATGCATGCCTGGCATTACGACGAGGAACAAACACTACCACCAAACGAGCCGTCAGTACCTGCGGCGAGGACGCGCTCTAAGGCGGATTCTCAACCAGACCCCCATGCTATGGCTATATCAGCTGCTCCGGACATCCAAATGATTGTGTGGGCAGAAATGGCAGTGTTCGGCCCCGCACGGACCACCCAGTGTAGCCACTGTAGATTAGCCAGAGCTTACGGCAAGTAACGATAGTCATAAGAACAACAATGAACGGTGGGCTGCGATTTGCCCACAGATTGGTAAATGTCTTGCGGCTGGGGTCATGCCAGCTGCCGGTATAATGGTGAACAAGAGGGTTTCAAGCGCCTTGGGAAAGTAAGTGGACGCTGTATCCAAAGTGTTATCTAGGCTCGACCCGACTAACCCGCATGTCAAGAAACGCCTATATCCATGGCCATACTTATCAGGCCCATCTTCTCGTTTGTGCTGCTGCCCTCGAAGTCCAAAAAATTGTGGGCGGCATGGAAAAGGACGAGAACGGAGAAACCTTCCTCGATCGCATCCGATCTAGGGGCGTCTATCTTAAGAATAAACTGGACGAACTTCTTGGTGAACCTTATGTCGGGGACGTCCGTGGACGCAGCCTTTTCTGGGGGATCGAATTCGTGAAAGACAAAGCCAGTAAAACGCGATTCAATCGTGATATCAGCAGTGAAATCTCACGTCATGGCGCCAAGAATATTTGGACTCATCCGGGAAAGCCTAAATCAGCTATACACGTTTACCCTGGAAGTTGGAGACTCGCAGATAAGCATGGCGTGGAACAGGGAGGCCACCATATCATTATCGCACCTGCCTTAAACTGCACTGAAGATGACATCGATGAGATTGTGGGTAAAGTTAAGCAGCTGATCCGTGATTTCAAGTATATGCGCGACCCAACGAATCCGCAAACCTAGCCAAAAGGTAAGCGAACCAGACAATCAAACAAGACGATTTGGAATGTATGTTCCTATCATCGCTCATTTTACTTCTCGACACTCTTTCATGTTGAATGTAGGGAAATAGGAGGGTCGTTGGCAAGAGAGCAGGATGATTTGGTAAAAGGGAAGGAGTTAAACCATGCTTTCCTACTATTAATGCTTTTAAGTCACTCGTTAGTCTCCCTTTTCGCACTAGAACCGGTCCAAGAATTACAATGTGGATTTCAGCCTCAATGTAGACAACTGGATCCATCCTGACTCACATGTCTTTATGAGGTTTTAAAGTAGCATTATCAAAGTGAACTGTCGCAAATCGCTGCTCCAGTTATAATGAGGATAAAGAAGTAGAAGGGAACTATAGTTTTGCAGATAGCCCATTAATTACATCATTATACTCCAGCACGACTGAGGTTTGTAGAAATGACTAACTGACCATGACACACAGGTCGCAATCGAATGCCGGCAGTAAGTGGTCCAGACTGATCGAGCGCTTCTAGATTTGGTGTTTGGGTATTAAAAGAAGAAAGCTAAAAGTCGGCACAAATAGCTCGCCTCAGCGAATATGGATCCATGGAAGAAGAAAAGTTCGACAACAACTTGAATCTGCTAACCTGCTTCCCGCAATCGTCTTGCCTCTTCTACTCTCTTTGCGTCTGCGCGATCATAAGTCCATTCCGTTCGTCGTATCGGTGGAGCTACGGACTGTGGCTTTTGTTTTGGTGAAATGAATCGTGAACAAAAGGAATCACTTATCTGAGGGGACGGACACCAATGGGAGAGATCGCAATGTGATATTGATATTTCAGGACGCACCGGCAGAGCAGGGGCAGGGTTTTATGATGGACGAACAGGATGGTCGCACGTCGCCATTTGCTGCAAATATGCTCCACACTTGGACATCGGACAAGGCCGACATATGTCTTATCCCATTCGGGCTACGGAACAAGCTCACCATGGGAGCACTACCTTTGACGTATATCCATACTAGAATACGTATGGTCATAGTCTGTCTTATATGTCAGATTCACGACAAACCAAACGGATGTCAAATAAAATAGATTAACCGATAGGAAATTCATCAAATATAAGTGCACTGATGCCCTGCATTATGTGGGAGAACATGGTGGGAATGGCAAAACTCGAATGCATCTACAATACCACCGTGTCTAGCCTTGTTGATATCCTCAGGCCGGCAGCTTTCCAGGCCTCGCCGCCGTTGCTCTGGAACTTATGCACCACCTACTCATGCATACTGGCCATCGCCGCATCCGGAAGTCGTACCGGCTCAAAGGACGGAGGCTCCCTATTTGTAAGGACGGTCAATTTGGGGGCTGTGCCTTGGGCAAAGTAGAAGAGTTGAATACTCTATCGTGATCACAGAAATGAAACTTAAAGTAAGTTGACGTCTTCTCGGAAGCTAGATAGGTTTGTTTATATCGTGATTTAGTAGAAGGTTGTCAATAATAGCCCTGCCTAGTCACTAACCGCCTTCCATACACGTGTCTCCCCTTCAATGGTTTGGCAAAATGATAGATGTGTCACCTGAAGTGGGCTACTCATCAACGTTGCGCACAACGCCTGGCACCCCCCCACTCCAATTGGACCAACAACACGTTGGGGTTCCTTTATACGCAATTCCATGACCGTCCAAGAAAGCACGCTAAAATACGCATAAGCAGCACTATGATGCTGAAATGCGATCTAGATGGCAACTAAGAGGATTTCGAAGAGAATTAAATTAGCCTTATTTAAGTAGACAACTGCATATGGCCAGCTCGCCTGTCAGCTGACAGCATGCAACGTAGATCCACCGCCATCTGGCGAGCTGCTGCTCCCTAGGGAGTTTTGCTAGGTGGCCTGTTGCAGTGTAAAGTTGGTGGGGAACTTCTATTGACTTCTATCAATGCCTCAGGTACCTTATTTGCGGATCAGTCAAACAACGAAGAAGGAGCGACAAAGCAACAAACATGAGGAATCACTTCTACCATCGTTATTGACAAATAGGATGCACGACACCATCTGGATATTCCCAACCGCGACAGAGATGCGACCGTCGTCTGCAGCTGACCAGGGAGCGTGCACGCTTGCAAATGCTTCAACATGAGCTCAACCGCATTCAATCGTGAAGACTCGGCAGATCAAGACAGCGAGGCTCTCACCCAATTTTCAGATGACCAGCAACCGGATGGGGCCTCGGTGCCTCGTCCGTCAGGCTATGCTTCGCAACACGACGATATGCAAAGCGATGTAGCGCAAAGCGACACCGCGCATAGCGACGCGTCGACTTACAGCGTTTCCACGGCAAGCAGGCCCATCTCTCTTTCGCATTCCCAAGGTGCGACGGATGAGCCAGGCGTGGACGATCATCGTCACATGATGCTTGCCAGCCTGCTCGAAGATCACTTTCGCATGCGCGCTGCAGAGTTCCTCAATACCACCAATGGAACTAACTACACCCGGCATTCGCGCGAGGTCCAACCTCTGGCCCGACAGCTGTTCGCCCAGGCAACCCAAACCCTTTCATCAAATGGACTACTTTCCCCCACGGCGGCTTCAGAGCCTGCGCGCGATGTACGCCGACAATACCTTGTTGGCCTTGACAGCCTCGTGGCCGGAGCGAGTGGGGTGCAGGCACCGCCAACTAGCATTTTGGAACCCATGCGTGACTTGGCGGCCCAGGCATCGCAATTCACCATACTAACTCACCCGGCCACTGACCTCGAGCTCAGACTCCAAGTGCCACGGAGTCGAATTCAGTACCAAGCCACTTTCAGGGAATTAGGTCTCCTTGGCAAGGGCGGCTTTGGCAAGGTCTTCAAGTGTTACAATCGGTTGGACCAGAAGACGTATGCTGTGAAGAAGATCCCCCTATCGCCCAAGCTCACTAAAAGACTCTGCCAGGACAGGCACGAGGACATGCAAAGTGTGTTACGCGAGGTGCAGGTCCTGGCTATGCTGGATCATGTCAATGTCGTCCGCTATCATGCCACGTGGATCGAGGAGCCGCAACACGAGCCAGAACAGCATCGCGAAGTTGGTTTGTTGGGTAGGTTTGACCTCTCGTCTCTCCGGTTTCCTATTTCCGTCTCGTTTCTACTTCACGTGGAGGAGCTCCTGTACTCGCCGGAAACATCCTGGTGCTTCATCCGATCCACACATCACCACTAATGCAATGTTTCAGATCATGAAGCAAACACGAAACTATGGCAGCGTCCACCGTTGCTGCTTGAAAGCCGTCGCATTACCCAGGTGTCGGATGACGACCTCGAGCCCAGCTTTCCAAAGGAGCAATCAGGCAGCTGCGGCATTGTATTTGCAGAAGATACTCCATCATGTCCAGATGCCAATAACCACAAGCCCCCGGTGACTGGACTGCAATGGTCTGATCAGCTTCCTTCGGGCGAGAGCGCTATCGAGACACAGTCCGGATCTGATAGCGACATATTTACGGACGGCCAAGGTGCAGGGCCCTCCCGCATCGACCACCCGCGCGTCGTCTGCGAGGACGACACGGGCGTGCACGTGTTACATATACAGATGTCGATGTACCCCATGACGCTAGCCCAGTACCTTGCACCCACTTCGGGCGACGGCCCAAAACATTGTTTTCATCTGATTCCCACCCTGCGGCTGCTGCTGTCCATCCTGGAAGGACTTCAATACATACACGCCAAGGGTCTGGTACACCGAGACATCAAGCCAGGCAACATCTTCCTCTCGCATTTGGAAGATAACGACAACACCGGATACTGCAATATCACCTGTCGCTCCTGCCCAGGCAATAAAGGCCAGGTCTGGCTTAATCCTCGAATTGGCGATTTCGGTCTGGTGGCTCAGCTGGCGCATGAGGTACTACTAGACGAAGACACACTGTCTAGCAAGCCGGTTGGCACACCGTACTACCGCCCGCCCATTTGGAATACTGAGAAGCACAACGAGAAAACGGACGTCTTTGCCCTGGGTGTTGTGTTTGTGGAGATGATGTGCCGCTGCGGCACGACTATGGAACGCGTAGACATGCTCAAAGGCTTGCAGCGTGGACAGATACCCCTTGGCTTCGCGGAAGCCATCGAAGCCGAGGGCTTTGGCGCAGAGACTGACGATCTCGTCAGAGTGGCAAGCTCAATGGTTGACCCTGATCCCGCGCAGAGATACAGTGACAAGCAGGTCAAGGATGCGATCGAGGCGATACTCGAAAGAGTAAGCCAGGGTGAACTTTTTGTAGCATAAAACGAGATATGCCATTAGTATGGCGAGCCCAATGATACCACTGGAGTACCATGTAGTCGTTTCAGTTCGTTGCATACTGTCGGACCGCACCAGCCTTTCTAGCTGTTTCATGCTTTTTTGCGCTGGACGGCTGATTTAGAGAGTCTTGAACTTGCTCGGGTGTAAGTAGCTAAGAGGCATACCTTTCTGTATTTAAGATACTTATGGCCCCCTTTAGTCTTTTGGACTTGGGGAGATCAGAGACACATCAAATTTCATGCTTTGTTACAGCTTGCAATAAGTCCGATAAATACGTAACCGATGCAGAGAAATCATATCTTATGCTCATGGTGATGGCAACGCAACGCTTGATTACTTTTACCAAGTGTCCAAACATGTTCGACTCCTCAATTGGCGGGTATCCGGTAAGATTTTCTTTTTTCATCTCGTTTATTATACTGTCCTGTGCAATCCTACGGCTTATGAAGACTGCGGGTCCGAAGACCAGAAGTATAGCGGGCAAACTACCCAGTCCTACATATAAGTATAACCTTGTACTGCGAATTTGTATTCTCCGTAACTCTCCTTTTTCCCTCGCGGTAAAAAGTTCTGACTTTAAGCCGGAGGTTTAAGTTCAATAGCGGTGTAGGGCTGTGGGTTCCATCGCTTTCGCAGCGGGCATGCGTGGTCCCTATAAACCGCCGTCGGATTCGAACCAACTATGCTCGTCGCCGACCCAGACATTAGCCTGGGTTACAGCGGCTTATGCAGCCGACAAGCTTAGGACCACTAAGCTAAGCGGGAATATGGTAATATTGTAGCCGCTGAAAAGCATGGATGGCGAAGGCAGAGAATCCAGGTCATCACTTACAGCATGAGACACGAGGCCTAGCATATCTCTGATCGCTCAATTCTACATAAGTTTGGATCTATCGACAACTCATAAAACCTAGGCAACCTAGGCTAGCCAGCAAATTTACTTGATCTCCCCTGGCCTCCCCTTCCAATTCTCAGTCCTACTTGCCATGCCTCTGATTCAAGATCAGCTCATTCATCCCCTCCCCCTCAATCCACTCCCTCAATCCACCCCTCAATCCTCCCCATCATGTCCCAGACCAACCGTGGGTACCCGTTATTGACCGCCTGCAGCTAAGCCGCCACGATGGTGCCCTGCTCTTGCTCCACCCCGTGTGCTCCATCTGCGATACCAAGCCCCGAGGTTGGCAACAAATGTATCCTCTGCGGTTCGGTCTGTCCAATAGAACAGCCTGGTGGCCCGGCGCATGAAGGTCATACTCATTTTAGAGGAGGTGGGGCATTTCATAGCAATTTTCGAGATCACTTACGGTGAGGAAGGAGGGGGGCAGTTTTGATGTTTCGCAGGATGATCGGGGCCAGGCGGTGGGCGTTAGCGGAATTGGTGGTGGTTGGATTGGAATAGGGTGACGGACACCGGTAGGTTGGCGAGTGTTTGTTTCCAGAAGGCGTAGTTGGAGGGACCTACAAGGTGTCGGTCGTCGGGAGTTTGGGAGTCTCCGTTGAATTACTCCTGTTCGTTTGCATCCTTTGGCAGATGCTCTGTTGGTGATTCCTGAAAAAGGGCCCAGGCAAACGATCAGTGTGTGTTAGTAGGTTTTTTTTTCAGTCCTACTTGTCATCTACGTCAGGGTAGGTTGACACTCTCATGGCAATGAGTGGGTGCAGCTATGAACATGATTCAGACACTGGTCTGACATGGTTTGTTCGTGAATCGCATTGTCTCTCACATTTTTCACTTGCACAGTTAAAAAATAAAGCAGATAATGGACTCTGTTGCTCTGTCACCCGTAGTTGGTTTAGAGTCGGGAGACAGTGCTTTGAGTTGACGGAACGTAGCAGTAGTATAATTCTACGTAAATAAGTAGTGATCCAAATTTCTAGCATTAACGTCCCACACCCACATCCGGGACACCCAAAAATGCCTCATCAACACCGCTAGCCTCTAACTTCAACCTCTTTTTTCTTTACTAATATCGATTCAATCGTTACAAAATTTCACATACGTCTTCTTTACACTAATATGAGTCAATATACCGAAGATGATATTTATCGAGCTCTTCAAGCAATAGCTACCGGTCAAAGCCTCCGAAAAGCAGCATATGAGCATAGTGTCCCAAGATCCACTCTTTCACGACGGATTCAGGGAGCCCAGTCAAGAGATATAGCCTTCGCTGACTACCAGAGGCTCTCTCCATCCCAGGAATCTCATATAGCTAAATGGGTTCGAATCCAGGCTGCCCTAGGCCTCCCACTAACCCATCAACAGGTCAAAGACTTCGCCGAGCGTATCCTACAGATCCACGGAGACACCGAACTACTTGGAAAGAACTGGGTCCAGGCTTTTATCAAGAGGAACCCGTCAGTCAAGGTCCAGAGAAGCAGAGCTATCGATTCCCAGCTGATACGTGACCCCATGGGGGGTTGCCCTATAGCTAGAGAAAAGATAGATAAGAGCTATAAAAGAGCTCTGCCAGGCCAGAATAGCTGACCTGGCCATCCTTTCCCAATACAACAATTCACACCCCATATGCACTCGCATCACCAGCGTATTAATGGAGCCTCAGCTAATGTGATCAGGTAATGGTTCAAATACCTCGCTATCCCTGAGATCAAAGCTATTAAGGCCTCGAATCGATACAATATGGATGAGACAGGTATTCTAGAAGGTAGAGGATCAACTGGTCTTGTTCCAGGATTATCTGAGACTCGTTCTATACGGAAGAAACAGCCTGGATCTCGAGCTTGGACATCTCTTATAGAGTGTATCTCTGCGACTGGTACTGCACTACCCCCACTTGTGATATACAAGGGGAAGTCTGTCCAGCAGCAGTAGTTTCCTCTGGACTTGACTCCATACGAAGCCTGGAGGTTTACAGCAACAGAGAATGGGTGGACGCCAGACTCTACGACTATTGAGTGGCTGCAAAAGATCTTTATTCCTTTGACTCAACCAGAGGACCCTGAAGAGACTAGGTTACTTATCCTAGATGGGCATAGTAGCCACGAAACGACAGAGTTTATGTACCTCTGCTTTATAAACAAGATACACTTGCTTTTCTTGCCGCCACACACATCCCACGTTCTCCAGCCTCTCGATCAGTCAGTCGTTGGACCCCTCAAGGCAGCCTATAAGAAGGAGCTTGGTTACCTTGACCGATGGGATACTACTACTGTCGTAGGGAAGAGAAACTTTCTCCTCTGCTATAGAAAGGCACGTCTAGCAGCATTGACCGCTAATAACATTATCAGTGATGGAAATATACTGGTCTCTGGCCTTCGAGCATAGCTAGACCCCTTATGAGCCCCCTGCTCCTTGAGAATACGTCAGCACCAATCAGACAGCCTAGTCAGACTTGCAAAGGGTACTCTGATAGTAAGGGTAGTCAGGACTGGGCGCTAGAGACATCAGCAGTAGCCTGGTCAACGCCTAAGAGGAGAGATGAGCTCCAAGATCAACTCAGCTTATTCAGCAAGCCTGATAGTGATCCAAATACCCAGCGGCTACTCTTTCGGAAAGTTCAAAAGGGCTTTTATGAGAAGGACTACCAATTAGCTGTCGCACAGCGAAAGATTGAGGCAATAGAGGCAGAGCTTGAGGCTAGTAGGGCTAGGAAGCGGAGGAATGTCAAGATGAGCCCAAATTCGAAGTTTACTAATATCAAGGCTATTCGGAAGGCTCAAATCGAGGCTGGTGAAATTGAGGATAGTACAGATGAGTCTAGCGAGTCTGAAAACCCTAGTGACGGTGAAAGCTGTATTATAGTCGCATTAGAATAAGTGTAAAAAAAGGTTGAAGTTAATGGTTATAATATATAGTGTCATTTTTAGGGCGTCCCACATGTGGGGGTGTCCCGGATGTAAGTGTGGGACGTTAATTGGGGCAGTGGCTAACATGTCAGGCTACATGAATACGACCTACGTATAATCGACCACGCAAACCCTTATCCACCGGTAACGCAAATTCTCAGCTTATAACCCCACAGCTAGCTTGTAGGCATCCCCCTGTGATGCAAAATAGGGCACGCGTGGCAGTTATGCATGACCGTTCAAGCCTCCAAGCCATGCTTGAGATCGGCAAGTGCTCGGGACTCACGAAGTGGTCCGGGTGGATTGAGCAAGTCGCGGGGATTTTGCGTGTCATTTGACTACGACAGCCTTTTTTAACAAAATGGACGATTCTGGGTCCGACAATAGGCCCTAGGCCACCCGTCATGCCTAGGTCATGCCCGATCTCATCTACAGTCTAGACAGTGTTGAAGCAGCCTTTCTTTCTGAGATGGGAAGCGCATTACGACTTCCCCTAGCCTCTGCATGACAGCTGCCTGCATGGATTCGGTTGTGGTCTGAAATATTCTTGTAAAATAGCTTTTGATTCTCGCGTTTTTATGACCACGGGGTCAACAAGTGGGATGCTAGCATGGCATTTAAATCCCGATTTAGACAAAATGGACGTTTTCGGATTATGCATTTAGCCAATGGATGTTGCTGCCAATTGCCATACTCGGTGGCTCTGGTGGTCAAAATTCCCCTTTCCTCTGTTTGTCGGTAACACCACTTGGTACCTACTCGGGTACCTTGACACACTCTGGTTCCTTTTGCTCGAGACCACAGATATCATAGAGTGACAATATTAGAATTACACTAGGCACTTGTCGAAGTTCCTCCACATCAACATTGAACCCTCCCGGCCATCTCAAGCAATCAGCCCAAAGAACCTCAACATAATATCTTCATTCACCAGCGACGTATGCCCCACGCCCTCCGCAAAGTACCCTTGTAACTGCGTCCCATCTCCATACACCATCTGCGTATACTCCGCGGACGGCACTCCAGTAACATTCTTCGTAAACGGCACCCCCAGCACCTCGCTCCACTGCTTCAACGCCTCCACCGCACACTTCGGCCTCACCAGCGTATCGTTCGTCCCATGAACAATCATCATCCTGGGCCTCTTCTCTGTATACCCGGGATACGAGTTCCTGACGAAATTCCCCCATTCAGTCGATGTGTGTTCCAGCCCCTGCGCACACGTCTGATTCTGACAAAACGGCGTCGAGCACGGCGAACCTGCTGAACAGGCATGCGCTACGCCCGAGTAAGCCGCCGCGGCCTCGAAGACGTTGGGGTATGTGCCAGCGAGGGCGTTGGTCATCATGCCGCCAGAACTAAACCCCATGGCGAAAACGCGCGTGCTATCGCCATTGTACGTCGAGAGGGTGTAATTGATCATGTTGATGATTCCCAGGGCATCGCCGCCTTCGTTGTGCGTAAGCGTCGCGGTGTTGTGCACATCCCAGCAGTGGTTAAAGTTGGGGGTCTCGGGGTAGATGAGGATGAAGCCGTTGGCGTCGGCGTATGAGGGGAGGGTGGTGCGGTTGTACCAATTTAGGGCGTCGCGTTGGCAGGAGTGGATCTGTGGCTTGGGTTAGAGAGGGATAGGAATAGGGGCTTGGTGTTGGAGGAACATACTGCGACAATGATGGGTGGATTGGCCGCCAACTGATCGGGTACGTAGATATACATAGTTATGTTGGTTGGGTTTGTGCCCCAGTTTGTGACGCCCTGAAGCGATGCGCCGAGGCACGTCGCTGCCATGGCAGCGAATATGAAGAGTGACCCGAGCATCGTGGATTGGTGAGACGAGCACAGATCTGACAATGACGAGGCCTAAGACTTATAACGATCGCGGTAGTTTGCTGCAACCCCTACGGAGCAGCTTTGAGCTACTTGCTGCATCTCTTGGGGTTCTTATACTAACCCCGGATTTCCTGCCGATCTAATATCGGACAGGACTAGTCCATTTCTAGGGTTTTGGTGCGCAGCGGCTATACGAAGGGTTTTCTTGGCTATAACCACTAAGGGATCGGACCTCGTGGCATTGACAGCCAAGCCGATTACCCCGTATGCTATCCTATCTAGTCCGATACAGGCCATACTCTGGAGGGCGGGGGAGGAGGGGCGGGGAGGAGCACATTCAATTCGATGCTTTCTGATAGCTTGCAACGAGTCCGACCAAGTACCGGGATCCTGATATAAATGAACTGGCCCCACACAGGGTCGTCACAGAATTGCCAGTCCGGCGCTGATATACCGGGTCTACCCCACGATCACAAGAGTACCTGTTAAATTAGGCAAAAAAAGCGATCGGAGAAACGAGAGCTCATTTTATTTTTCTCCGCGATATCCGGTAAGTGGAGTTGGTAAACGTCATATAGAGATAGAGCATAAGCACATGAAACTGATTGGGTTGGTTAAAATTATAGGATGGGACAGCGACTTCTGCCAAGTTACAGGTGGTTGCTGTCGTGATCTCGAAAATGGAATTGGACAGAACTGGCTACGAGAAGGCGCTGCTGTAGTTGATATATGTAACGAAACCTCTAATAGTCTAGCTGCGTAAACCACTAAAGAGTCTGTAAGGGTTTGTGCTAGTAAGTAAGTCCTGCTGCGGAGTCCTTTAGCAATAATATCGGGGTCTGACGTATGGAGTATAGTGCTTTGGGGTAACTGAAGTATTCGAGTAGGGTAACTGGGAATAGAGTCGTCAAGGCAGTTTGCCTCACCAATGGGTTAGATTGATGCTTAGATTGATCACTGAAGTAGACTGTCTATCTATGAAATGCCTGGGAGTCCTGTCCCTTATATATCCATTCCCTCCCTCACTGATAACTGGGGCCATTAGATCCTTCATGGATACTATTGGTCCTAACTGGATATGTTGGATCATTTCATATCCAAATGATCCACCCTTGTAAGTCACGTGGCTTGTAATCCTTGCCCTAGCTGGCTCCTCCTGCAGCTAGCCACTCCTGTGTGACTTTCCCCTTTTCCCTCCTAGGCACGGCCAAGGGAGCTCGTTTGTTTTGTCAATGGGCGGAGGAGACCAATTTCTTTACTGAGATCTGCCCATCGCACTGAACAGGAATGTTAGATGAAGACAGTCCCCTGTAACATAGATTCGACTAGCATAGACCATGCCGGCACTGCGCCCGGCACGTCTCACGTGATGAGACGTTAAATTTCAATCAATCAACCAAAGTCCAGGGACTTTGGTATTGGTCTCTTTTGGTGAAGACATCTGGTACGGTGGCGTAGTGGCAAGGATTGCAACCCCTGTCACGGCGTGACATCAGTAGGATATACCTACCACCTAACATACTGAACAGAGGGCTCCAGTATCAACAGATCCTATCTGTTGGTCTTATCAGACGAAGATCGTGGTACTGGTTATAAGAGCTTCACTCTTATATGTCTGGTGCGCGAGTTGGTCGGATGTGCCTCTGATACTCGTATCGTGATAATAGGATCTCGAACGTAAAGATAAGCTGAATAACTAAAATAACTAAATAACTGACTGAAAAGCGAAGGTGAAGATATAGATAAGAAGGAGATGATGATATGAAGATGAGGATGATGATGCGTGAAGATGGGGGACTCGTGTCCTATGTCACGACCTGGGTTGCATCGCATTGGTAGAGACCTCGATTAGGTGCTATCGACGAAGATTCTACTCTAAGGAGCGAAGGAAAGAAGATCACAAACTTAGGTTTGAGGGAGCGCGACTAAGTCGTCCACGCTTGGCGGGGCTCCTACAGGGGTTATGATTGGCTTCCCATCTGGCACTGCCACGGCAGGTGTTCCAGCTGTAAGTCACCTGGTTGTAGTGAGTCTGCGAGGGTTGACCTTCACATCCTACTCTGCCTCTGTGCCTCTTAAAGAAGAGAAAATAAACTTTCTCCTAGCCCCGTAACCTATTTCCCTGATGTCCGGCCTTACCCCGTTACAATAGCGCCGACGGGCTACGACCCTCGCGATCCATCTCGAGGATCTATCTAATCAGCGCGTCTTCCTAATCTCTAGATAGCTTCATCGACGCGATTGACGCGTCAGAATAGCCCAGGCCATCGCCGAGTCGTAATTAGAGGGTAGAGCGCGGAACGCCCTGTCGGAGGGAAGCTGATGCGAGTGCATATGGGGTGTGAATTGTTGTATTGGGAAAGGATGCCAGGTCAGCTATTCTGGCCTGGCAGAGCTCTTTTATAGCTCTTATCTATCTTATCTATAGCTATAGGGTAACCCCCGGGGTCACGTATCAGAAGCCTGGCGCTAGGATATCCCTTGATTAATATCGTTAACGATTACGGGCCGCCATCGCACCACGGCCACTATACTCTCGCAGAGACCTCGCAACGGCAACAGGAGAACCAGTAGTTAGTGGGACTATTGTAAGATGGCTGCTAGGGACGGGTCGGACAGCTTCAAGGCCCAGATAGCATCGATCTTCTCAGGGGGGACTTTGTTGGTAGGTTGAGAACCAACGTAGTATGGTAGTGAACGCAACGCAGTCGCCAATAGGGCGAACCGACGACGCAGCGTATGTATTTAGTCCAGCCATTAGGGTACGGTTTGACATACGGGAGTACTAGTAGAGGTACCGGGGGCTTCGAGCCTACGGCGTATTTAATAATAATAATAATAAAATATCGTTAAGTGCGCCTTAAATCGAATTTTCTGAATATCGAGGCATTTTATAATAATAGCCAATACCGACGATAATCTGTTATACCGAAGGTTGTTGTAGTTGGCAGAATGGGTGGCCAGGAAGGTGGGTGGCCAGGAAGGTGGGTGGCCAGGAAGGTGGGTGGCCAGGAAGGTGGGTGGCCAGGAAGGTGGGTGGCCAGGAAGGTGGGTGGCCAGGAAGGTGGGTGGCCAGGAAGGTGGGTGGCCAGGAAGGTGGGGGTGTACGACCTGTCAGGGTTGTGTATACAAGATGGGTGGATAGGTGAACAGCACAGAGCCAATCGCAGGCAGCCATAATGTCTCTTAGTCCGCGCAACAAAAAGGTAAATAAAGACTCATGGACGCCCAGGAACGCCCAGGAACCCGTGCAAAGAATACTTCTCGTTTACTTTCATCTGTCAGTAGACGAATTCTGCGACATCCGTGAGGGAGACCTCGCCCCGGCAAAGCAACCAACACATTCGTTCAATTGCCATTGCCTATGTGTTATCCCGAGTCTTGTGTCTGATCTTATTCGTCGACCGGCAACTCTTTATACCGGCGACAACTTTGAAGTTCTTGCCCAATCAGAAACGGAATGCGTGTCCATCTCTTCTTTGCCGCCCTGGCTCTGTGCTGTGACACAGCAACCGCAGTGGTAGAAGGCAACAGCACCAAGTACTCGACATGGATGGCATACAGCATCATGTCGCGCAACCAAGGCATCATGACGGGCACAGGCGGACGCTCGGAACTCCTCCAGACCGGATTCACGCAAAAGGCGTTTACAGCGCTCATCGAGCAATACCCCGACGATGACGACGTGCAGCAATACATCACAACCAGCGCCGCCTCCGTTATTCCATTTATAGAGAATGCTACCTATGACGCCTTGTCGTACCCAATGGACCGGCTTTCCAACGGAAACGCGCTGCTGGCTCTCTACGAACAGACAGGCAACACAACATATGGCAATGCGGCGGATGCGCTGCGCCGGAGCATCGATTTGAATCGCAGGAATGAGGAGAGTGGGCTGTGGTACTACGTCTACCCCTACTGGAGCTATCTGGACGGCATGTTCTCACTTGCGCCATTCTACACCATCTCCGCACTACCGTCACAAGGTAACGGGACAGAAAATCTGACGGCATTGGACGACATGCAACTGCAGCTCGATCTCCTGTGGCAGCACTGCCGGAACGCTTCGTCGGGGCTTTTGGTGCATGGGTACGACGCCACCCGGATGGCTGTCTGGGCGGACCCCGAAACGGGTTCGAGTCCGCACGTTTGGGGCAGGAGTCTGGGATGGTATGCCATGGCCTTGGTGGACACCCTAGACCTCCTTCCGAGCTCGCCGGCCAAGTATAAAGATCGGCTGCTCGATATGTTCCAGGACCTCGCTGGTGCGCTGGTTGATGCCGTCGACCCGCTGACAGGAGGTTGGTGGCAGGTTTTGGATCAGCCCGGCCGTGAGGGCAACTACATCGAGTCCAGTGCAAGTGCCATGTTCTCTTACGCTCTACTTAAAGGCGTGAGACTGGGATACCTCGCGACCGACTCCGAGGCCCCGACTGTTGCAGCGCGAGCGCATACGTACTTGACGAGTGTGTTTGCGGTCCGGGAAGCGGATGGGACTCTGGGGTACAACGGGACGGTATCGGTGTGCAGTCTGAACTCAACAGCGTCATATGAGGTGAGTTGACTATACTTGTGCGCATCTCAGCATTTGGACCGCACTAACAGCAGTTACAGTACTACGTCGGACAGTCTCTGGACTACAATAGCGTGCTTGGGTCTGCGGCGTTTGTGCTAGCGTCGCTCGAGGTGGAGAGAAGCCATAATGTGTAAAGCAATGTAATTGCCATAGATACGGATAACCCGGAAGCAACGGAGCCGCCAAGCTCCAAACAGTCGGGCGTTCATGCGAACTTGGAAATGGAATGGAGCATACCGCGGGACGTCTTTCTTCTTGGAGACAGTCTAATCTGGAATCCCGTGCTTTTACGAGTCGTTGGAACAATTCCTTTCTCATTGATCGGAAACGTCGAGTCGGGTGTGAATTAATTACCGGGATGTATCTGGCCCAGGAACATGGATTGCTGGCTTGGCGACCGATGCGGTACTTGGGGGGATTCAGGGGTGGTGAAACATTTCAACAGCGACAACCATCGCATGACGACCGTGAAATCTCCACCTTGACTTTATTCGAGAATTGTGAATCTATACGCAGGATCTTGAACGGGATTAGGGGAGCAATGATGGCTTCACTTATAACGGGCCAGGCATCCACGGCTCTGCGATGGACAGAAGACTCTGGCGCATGTCGATCTGATCAACCACCACAATGAAGAATCTGACAGCCGCCTTCTTGTCGCTGGCTACGGCCGCGTCGGCCTCGTGCGTTGGAAGCAAAATTCCCACGACCTCGTCCACGGCCGTCGCAGCACAACCGACAACAGTCAGCAGCAGCAACGTCACCAATCCGTCAAACTCGAGCGCGAGTTCGTCTTTCGCCAAGACCAATGGCGTCCTTTTCGATATTGATGGCGTATCCGAGTACTTCGCGGGTACGAACTGCTACTGGTGCGGCTTCCTGACGGAAAACGGCGACGTCGACCTCGTCTTCTCTGACATTGCAGCCTCGGGCATGAAGATTGTGCGAGTGTGGGGCTTTAACGATGTCAACACCAAGCCTACCGATGGGACGGTGTGGTACCAGTACCTCTCTGCCGAAGGTTCTGAGATCAACACGGGCGTTGATGGCTTGGGGAGGCTCGACTACGTTGTCCAGGCTGCGGAGGCGAATGGGTTGAAGCTTATCATCAACTTTGTCAACAATTGGAGTGATTATGGAGGTATTGCAGCTTACTCCTCGGCGTTTGGGGGGGATGCGACAACTTGGTATACCAATTTGGTGGCACAGAACCAGTACCAGGCCTATATTGAAGCCGTTGTGAGCCGGTACTCGGAATCGACTGCCGTATTTGCTTGGGAGTTGGCGAATGAGCCTAGATGTGATGGGTGTGATGTGTGAGTTTGCACCTGCGAACTTTTCGTTTTCATCCGTGACAGACGCTAACATGAAATAGATCCGTCATTTACAACTGGGCCGCCAACACCTCGGCGTACATCAAGTCTCTAGATTCCAACCACATGGTGACTATGGGCGATGAGGGTTTCGGTCCCCTCGACGGTGACGATGGAAGTTACCCGTACACCACCTCGGCTGGAGGCTACACCTGGAGGTCCAATATGAACATCACCACCCTCGACTTCGCCACCCTGCACCTGTACCCCGACAGCTGGGGTCAGGACTACAGCTGGGGCACCCCGTGGGTTGAGTTGCACGGAGCCGCCTGCGCTGCAGAAGGCAAGCCCTGTCTCTTGGAAGAATGTGAGTTTCATCTCATTTCCAAGCCCTGCTCACTTTATACGTGTCAATTACTGAACCCTGGCAGACGGTGGCAACAATAACTGCACCATCGAGAACCCTTGGCAAGACGCTGCCCTAGCCACTGACGGCATCGCCGCCGACATGTTCTGGCAGTACGGCGACACGCTTCCCAGCTCTGGCTCGCAGACTTCGGATGACGGCAACACGGTTTACTACAAGCAGGGCAACTGGGACTGCATGGTTGCGGATCACATTACGGATATCAAAGCGGCCAATGCGGCCTGAAGTGACAGGGCACAGGCGGGGATCACGAGATAGCCGAGAGGTTTAGTTTTGTCGGTACCCGATTTACCAATTCACTGTATATAGTTGACTACTGAATGTAAATGTATCTCAAAGACTCCGGCGTAGGCTCAACTCTGCCGAGTTCATCTCTCTATAGGGAGCATTCAGCCCACCCTCTCGACCATCCGCAACTCCCATCAAATCCATCATATAAAAGAGCCTCGCTCCGAGGGGCTTAGTTCTCGCTGGCGACAGACTTCTCGTCGGGAGCACACTTCGTGAAGACTTCCAGCGCCTTGCCCTCCTAGTAGTTTGGCACTTCGGTATCCATTCTCTTCAGCACGGCGCATCGAACTCTGGGCTCGGTGTTGTACTTCTCCTGGCACGGCTTGAACGCGCTCTTCTGGACGCAGCCGCATGTGGAATTTTGAGATTTATGGTAACAAATGGTGGGCTTGTATTTGATTCATTGATTGACTGGCTGTTGGGTCGCTGCTAGTGTGGGATGGAAGGAACTTGCGTAGGGGCTTAAGTGACTGAAAGGTATTTGGGGTTGGTTGGTTGGTGACTAGACGGCGTCTGTAGGCAATATAGGTAAAAGGGTAACATGACGAGGTACAAGAATTAGTGTAATCCAGCGGAAAATTGACTCAAGCACATTGAATCATGCATGATGCATTTCATTGAGAGCTTTTGAGGCTCTTGGATAACAGTAAGACAAAACCGATTTCCAGCCACACCGAGAAGCAAGTATCAATATACGTTGCAGAAATACTGGTGTATAGAAATGTATCTTCTTACACTGCGTCTCAGTCTTTTTCATAGCCTTGATAGATCGAGAATTGGTTCCAATCTTCCAATCCTGTTACGAAAAGCTAGCAATCATCCAAGAAACTATGGAAATACGCCGAATCCATCACAGATTGTCCCATTTGAGGTATAACTGGGTATGCTTGGTTGCCTTTCCAAGATGCCGTGTAGCATTAAACAAAGCGATGCCTCCCAGCCGCTTGCGTTTTGATGTGTAGCGGTTTTTGATGATCATTGTACGAGGCAGACATGCATAGTATTTAATGATATTCAACCGAAAAAACAACATTCTAACTGCCATGAAATATGAGAGGCAGGAATATCAGGTCACGGAGGTTGACTTACAAGCGGGTTTTGGTGCTGCTTTCCGCGTTACAGTGTGCGCTGTGCGACGGCTAACCTTTCTTCAATGTCATGACGTCAAGAAAACGCGCCATCCATCAACGCGTCTTCGATGACGGTTCGACAGAGCGCCATGATGCCATTCGAACACAGCCGTACGACAATACGTAGCCATTGGTGTTTTAATATGCCTTATTTCGATAATTGTCTCGTCAAACTTTCTTCACTTCGTCCAAAACAATCTCCTCATGTTCTCCCGATCCAACTTCGTGCAAACCTCCGCATCTGCTCTTCGAAGTACAGGACGATCTACTTCCACGTTTAGAACTCTATTCGGATTTATACAACAGAAGGTTAGAATAATGGCGACCGGAACCCCTTCAGCATCTGCCCAGGCGCAACAAAACGCCGACGCGACGTCCGCAACACTCTCGTCATACGACATCAAGAACAAGCCGATCAACGAGGCCCCAGGGGTGAAGCTGTCAGAGTCGCAAAAAGTGGTGGTAGGAAGTATACTAGATGTTCGTTCTCTTTGTTGCTTCTATATGTCCACTCATCAAACTCTTTTCGACCTATTTGAACCTACCTCAACGTAATCAGCCTGATTGACACTCCTAGCTTTTCTCTGGCAATCCAACCTTGAAACATCTCTCCCTCTGGCACCGCGACGCCATCTTCGCCGACAACATCACGTCCGCCGCCGGATACGACAAGTTCGCGGCGCAATGGTATGGTCTCCCCGCCGTCTTCTCGCCCATCCACATTCAGTCGCATAAGGTTACCTCGGCAGGGAACCCTATAGTGATGGACTTGAGCAACAAATATGTTGTCAAGGGACTGAAGACGGAGAAGATCATGGACTCCGTGGTTAAGATTCATATCGACGGTGATGGCAAGATTGAGAAAGTGGAGGATAAGTGGAATGGAAACTTGCCTGAGGGCGGCGTAGCGGAGGTGAGTTGGTTTTCTCTTCTTCTATTTAGGCGAGTGATGGATATTGGGGTGGGGGTCATCTGGTGGGCGTTTTGTCGGGCGAGCTGGTGGTGGCCGTCCCTGGTAGGATATGTGTTATGTGGAGTAAACATGTGCTGATGCGCTAATGATCTGAATGTGCAGGCTTTCCGAAAGCTTAACGCGGTGACGGTGCCGACGATGGTGCAGGTTCCAAAGACGGAGGAGGAAGATTTGAAAATGAAGGCTGAGAGGGAGAAGTCGTCATGATGGGCCGGCATGGGCATGCATGTTTTGTGAGTGATGCCTCATAAGTTTGAAGAGATCGCAGCCCGCTTAGGATTGTAAAAGTACCGTGACACATGGAAAATAAATCATTTGTAGATATATCCGAATAACATTCCCATTTTCCACAATGCTCTGCAGCGATATATATCAGTAAGGAATTGGCACTGTTTGCTTTCCCGTAAACAATACCCAGTGTATATCCAATCCCAAACGCCTAACCGCGTACTTGTTCATGTCGTGCTAGGAAATGTTCCCCCATAGTCGCTAATCATCAATGCTCCAAATTCATCCAGTCCTGATCCTCAGCCCCCAAAGTCGCGGGGTACGGCAACGTAGCCAACATGGACCTCCAATCGGGACTCATCATACCCTCCTGATACACACCACCACTGCCGCTGCCCCCTTTCAGATCCTGACTCCGCATCTCACTCGCGATCCTCGCCTCAAACTCGTTGTATATCCCCTCAAACATGCGATGCGCCGCTTCAGCCGAAGGCCAGTACACCGCTACCTCCTTCGCACAGCGGAGCAACCTCGATAGTCGATCCAATGCGTTCAGCGCCGTGAGGAAGGATCGCTTCCCCACGGCGGACTTCACGTCGTTGGCGATGTGGATCCCCGCCGCGGTTAGGGCCACGATGGCCGGGAAGTGGCATTGTCCGGTTGTGCCGTTCGAAATAATGTCCTCGAGACAGCTGATGACGGTTTGGGCCGAGTCGTTGCATATGCCGTAGCTTTCATGGACGCGTGGGCTGTCGGTGCTGTGGATGTTGCGGTGGAGATGGAGTAGAACTAAATTGTAGTGGAGCTTAAGCTCCGAGGACCAGAAACTGGAGTCGTGGCGGAGACCCATGGCCCAGAGGGCGAGGCGGGCATCAATGGAGGCTAGGTCGGGACGGTCTGGCGCAGAAGAAAGCGAAGGGCTGTTGAGCTTGAGGATATCGAGGGCGATGCAGCTCAGTTCAATGTTGCGGAGGAGGTAATCCATCTGATAGTTCTCGTTCAATACACCGGCGCTGCTTTCAATGAAGTCTTCCTTCATCAAGGCGGGCTGGTCGATGTCGTCCAAGCTCACCATACAGGGGCGTCCGTGTTCGAGGGCAGAGAAGACTTCGTAGGTGAATGCCGTCCAGAAGGCGCGGCGGAAGATCTTCCTGTCTGCGTTGGGGAACTGGCCTGCTGCGTCCGACGACACGTCGCGGTGGGCGCCCAGACCGAAACCGATGCGGCAGGCTACGCCGAGCCAGTAGTAGCTCCCGCCACTGACGGTATCGGCGTCGTCAAGGTGCCACGTGAAGAGCAGAGCGGCTTGCATGAGGTGCATCCGGTCACACTCATGGCGGATGTGGAAGAGCATGCTCGCTCGCCGGAACAGGATCCCCTTGACCACAGCTCGAGAGCTGGCGATCTGGGGGTGGTCGCACACATGCGCGCCCGCCAGTAACACGGCCTGGAATAGAAGCAGGGGAGGCGGCTTGTGCGGGTCGGCGTATTGGGCTCGGAAGAGGGTCTCGTCGATGACAGGGAACCCCGGGTTGACGCGTGAGAAATAGGCATCGACGAGACTGTCGCGGATATCGCGTGCGGGGAAGCAGGAAATGTCGTTAGCAATGTCCAGATTGCCCTTCAGTCCCCAGATGCCGTCTTCAGGCTTCCAGGGGAGGCTGGGCCGAATGGGCGGGTAGGGGTAGTGGAGGTTGTTTTTGCTGTCGTCGGGGCTGAGGGAGGACTGACGGAAGCCGACGAGGTGCGAGAGGTTCGAGACGGGGGTTCCCACGTAGGCGATGCGGAAGCGCGAGTGGACGTCGAAGACGAGCCATTCCACTGACCCGATGCCGTACTGGAAGAATTGCGCCAGCGAGCTGCGCGCGAGAGAGCCCAGGTGTGTCCATTTGTCCGAGACGACACTGAGGCGGCGCGTGGTTGCTGTCGGCGGTGTGGTCGCGATGGGTGACAGCAATGAGTCTTCGCAGCCGCCGGGTGTGATGGCCACCTCGATGGTGTCTGCCGTTGACGAAGTGGAGGGCTTGTGCCTGTGTCTATGTCGGTGTTCGGCGCTCTTGGGTCTGGATTTGAGCGCTTCCCAGTCCGTTGTTGACCTGATGACGACCGTTCAGTAAGGACCGCAAGAGAGGATGGACGACGATGACCACGAGGAGATGCATACCGGCAAGTCACCTTGAGTTTGATACACACCGAGCAAGGCCCTCCCTGCTCAACCACATCGCACCTTGATTTCCTCCTCCGACACACATCACACGCTTTACGCTGCTGTCGCTTCCGACGCTGTGGCTCCATCATGAAGAAAAAAAGTGTCCGGGTGTCATTGGCCACGACTAGAGGTAGAACTCAGGAGCCGACGGAAAAGCCAGAGGGTATATCAAGTATCGCAGAACCCTCGTCGCATTTTCGGAGTAGCGCAAGCGTAATGCCATTGTGTAATGCCCACACCCAATCCCGCATTCATTTGACGATTGGAACTGCTAGAAATCAAGAGCCAATGCGAACTGCCGGGCCGGTGGGACTGTGGTGCTGCAGCATCGGGTCAAGCTCGCCGGACACGAGGCCGCTTCTCTCCACATGATACCTTGCATTCGTGATGCCTTGGTATGTCGGGATGGTCTCCGCGATAAGACAAGGGGCGGGGGGGGGTTGCAGCATGTTGACAGCGGTTTTGAAGAATGATTTGGGGGAACTTGAAAACTGACAGGGTTATTATTAGTCTGTGACATCCCAAGTCTGGGGAGTCGGTGCCACTCGGTGGGGGCTGATAAGTAATGATAAGTAACCGTTATGGAGGTAATTGTAATGGCTTCACGATAGAGAGAAAACCCCTGGATCGGAGTAGGCCGTTGAACCAATGGGATTGGTTCATGGGAGAGATATTCGATATCAAAAAGACGACAATCGGGAGCAACGTTCCTCTTTATCAATTGAGCAATCTCGTCCAGGCAGGCAATCGTTGCTGTCGGCTATCTCTTACAGTTGAGCTCGTCGTCAATCTCGATCTCCATCTCAAATCTCTGCTGCCTGAGTTATCGTGCCGCTCCACAGTCGGCAGCTCCTCATCGCCGAACAAGCACAAGCGGCTTCCCGCTCTGCACAATGTCATTGGGCGCAATCAAGACCTTTTCCACGGTGGAACCCACCATCCGATCATCGGCCAGCACGTTGATCTCCATCTTCATGGCTTCGAGGATGGTCACGACGTGGTGCTTTTTCAGTGTCTCGCCTTCGGACACCAGGACTTTCCAGACATTGGCGTTGACGGGTGCCTCGATGGCTTCGATATTTGGGTCTGTGGCGTGTTAGCACCATGCGGAAACCTGACTGGGGATTGCAGATGAAGACGAGGCTCGAGTGAGGACTCACCATCCAACAGCGCCTGTACGTAATCCATCGAAACCTTCCCCTCCTTCTTCTCCTCCGCCCACCGGTCCAACAACTCCTGCTCCAGCCTCACCATCTCCCCCTGCACCCTCCCCTGCCTCTCCCTCATCCCCTGGACCTCCTCCCTCGTCGCCTCCAACAACCTATTGTGCTCCCGCATATCAAAGCCCGACTCCTCAATCCGGTACTCGTACCTCCCACTCCGGAACAAGGCCATCTCCCCATCATACTCCGCCTCAGTCACCTCGTAAAACCGAATCACGTCCATATCCTCAAATAACCACGGTTGAGCGGGACTAAATCCGCTCTTGTACCCCAGCACATCCACCCCCGGGATAGTCATCCCCGTCGGCATGTAACCCCCCGGTGAATCCACAGGATAAACCGCTAGGCAAGATCCGCCCCACGAGGCGGTGCCCTCGGGTGTGAACGTCCGTGAGGGGTTCATCTTGGGTGCGTTGAGTCTATGTCGCGGGTCGGCTGGTAAGGCTTCGGGGAGGGCCATGAAGAAGCCGACGCCGATGACCACGAATTCGGCTTCTAGGTAGATTTCTTTGAGCCGGGACACGGAAATGCCGTTGTTATCGGCGACGAACTTGAAGGTGTCTGGTAAGTATGAGGCGTAGGGGCGCTGGTTGGCCATGTATCGCTCGATGGACTCGGTGAGTTTGCGGTGGGTGAAGGTCAGGGGCAGGTGGAAGATTCGGTTGGCCAGGATGGCGAAAGAGAGATCTCCTAATTTGGCTTCGAGCGTGATGAGGTGGGATAGGAGTTCGGCTTGTGGAATGAGGAGGCCGTTGTAGTAGATCATGAGGGAGTTGCCACAGCCGACGGTACTGAGGAGACCTCCGTCTTTGGTAAAAGAGAATTTGCCTGTGGCGTGGGAGCGGAGGGCGCGATTGAGCGCTGTGGTGCGGCATTTGTGGTTCAGGTCGAAGGATCCGTAGCCGTAGTCAACGAGGAGGTAGTCATCGGCTCCTTGGCGGTAGGATACTAGGGGTCGGGATGATGTCTCCTTGAGGACCTTCACGACTTCCTGGCTGCGTGCACCTGCAGGCTTTGCAATGCTGTGACTAGCAAACGGAGTCACCGCATCGAAAGTCCCCTTACATACAGCTTTGGCCACTCTGTCGATAAAGTCGTCGTGAGCCCGACGGCACTTCAGCGCATGTTCCAAGCTAACGCGATGGAATTTAACCGTGTTACCCGCGCACATCTGTCCCACCTTCCAGTAATCCGCCTTGACAACTGTCAGACTGCACACGAACCCCCCAAAATCAGGACAGTCCACGGGGAAGATGACCGGTTCGTCTCCGGTCCAGTTCAACCCGCCCATCGGGTATCCGTACTCGATCACATTACTCGGATGCGCTCCTCCATCTCCCCCATCCGCTCTCGCCCACTTTGGTTTGGGTCCGATCAGTCGGATCCCGCCGCGGGCGGCGTTGTGGGATACTTCGAAGGTAGTGTCGTAGAAGGTGTCGACGTGCTCGTCCAGGAGGTAGCCGTCTTCGTATGGGCCTGGCATGACTTGGACGTCCCAGTGCGCGGAGTACTGGGGGATAGCTGTTGCAGGCATGACAACTCCACTTGTGACTTTTGGCAGGACATTCGCCGAAGCAATCTTGAGCAAGTCACCAGACCGCAGTTGGCGGCCTTGGTAACCGCCCACCTGAACCATGGGACACGTCGCCTTGGAGCCAAACCATTCGGCTACGTTCAAGAACCCGCCGTAGACAGCCAAGTAAGATCGACAACCGGAATTCGAAAGCGTCTTGCCGACGCTGAGGCGTTGGCCTGCTTTGATGGATGTCTGGCTCCACATAGAAATTTCGTCGCAGTCCAGCGTAGCTTGGATAGGGGCACCGCACAAAGCCACTATGGCATCCCCTAGGAATAGGAGGTCTGGACCGGTAAGTGTGATTTCTAATCCTTCCTTCCCCAGCGGATTTCCAACGAGCGCATTCGCGATCTGGAAAGCCACGGGGTCCATGGGTCCAGCGTGGCCGAAACCCCTTCCGATAGTCGGTCGGCCGGGGAAGTCCTGAATCAGAGTGTAGGAACCCCCTGACAGGACATCAATAGCCGGCGGCGCAAACTCGAAGGTGTCGAGATATTTCGTAATCGTGTCCCCAACCCTGAATTTCTCGTCTTGTGTGATGGCATGTAAAAAGTCCAGATTAGTAGGCGGTCCGCAAATAGAGCTTTTCCCGACGATTTCCGCCAGCTCTTCTACTGTTTGCTGTCGAGTCGGGGCATGGTGCATAACCTTGGCCAGCAGTGGATCGTAGTTCGAACTAACTGTGATCCCGGCTTGAACCCAGGTATCAATCCGAGTCGTCCCTGACGGGATCTCATGCCACCTCACCTCCTGCAGTAGACCGGGGGAGGGCGCGTAGTTCCGAACGGGATTCTCAGCGTACACCCGCACCTCGATTGCGTGGCCTTTTGGCTCGAGACATCGAGCTTGAAGATCATCGAGTTCAGTTGCCGTTAGTCCACCCTTTCCAGGAATCTGGGCGTCGGCTTGCCGCAGCATGAGCTCGACGATATCGACATCGTAGCACATTTCCGTAATCCCGTGCTCGACTTGCAGCCGGGTGTTCATCTCCAGGAAAAAGAAGTTGCCAGTCTCGTCGTCGACTAGGTACTCAATAGTCCCCGCTGACGCATAATTCACCGATTCCGCGAGTCGTACAGCAGCAGACGTCAGCTCCTTTCTGAGCCCGGGCTTCTTCAATTCCACCAACGGGCTGGGACATTCTTCCATCACTTTCTGATGCCGTCGTTGAATAGAACACTCCCGCTCGCCCAGGGAAATGACCTTCCCCTGGCCGTTGCCGAAAACCTGCACTTCGATGTGATGGCTAGAGGGGTAGTACCGCTCCATGAAGAGCCCTGCGTTCTTGAAGAGCGCTTCGCCACGCGATTGAACCGTCTTGAATGCGTTTCTGACTTCGTCCTCATCGGAGCAAGTGAGGAGACCCATACCGCCTCCGCCTGCAGTAGCTTTGAGCATTACCTAGACGCGTAGGTCAAGTTAACCCAATTGCTGAAATGTACTTCCGAGTTTCGGGAGCCATGGGAAAACAAAACTCACCGGATAACCCAGCCCTCCCGCCGCTTGAATAGCCTCTTCCTCACTCCCCAACAAACCCTCCGTCCCCGGCACGACTGGAACTCCCGCGGAAACAGCCAAGTCCCGCGCCCGGTGCTTCAGCCCAAAGCACTCGATGCTCCCAGGGTCGGGGCCCACAAATAAGATCCCGTTACTTGCCACATCACGCGCAAAGGACATGTTTTCCGACAGGAATCCATAACCGGGAATAATTGCCTGAGCACCTGTGGCTTTGGCTATGGCGATGATTTGGTCTCTTGAGTATGTGTGTTAGTAAGGTATAGTAATTGGGGTTAGGACCACGAACCCGTCTAGATAAGCTAATGTGGCATCACCCTCGAGCAGATGGGCTTCGTCTGATTGTGCCACGTGCTGGGCTGCCGAGTCGGGCTCGGTGTAAATTGCGATCGTGCGGATTCCGAGACGTCTGGTTTCACGCGTTAGACATCACAAGCATCGGTAAGACGAACCTGTGTTCTTACTTGGCCGTCCGGATTATTCGTCCAGCGATCTCACCACGGTTGGCAATCAAGAGCGTCTTGAGAGATTCCATTGTCACATGAGTTGATTCTACTCATGAGAATCTATATGCAATCTGCTGCGAGAAACGCATCACGGTGTCCGCCCCCCTCATCAGGGCAAGATGACATGGTCATGCATTTATCCGATACGACATTATCAGAGGTTAGAGTAGAATGTCACAACAGACGCTCATGTACGACATTGCCCCAAGATGAGTTGGAGGTGTATGATCGTGGGGTTTTGGAGTATGATAACAACGTATCAGTCCCCCAAATTACAAGACCCAAGGATTGGTATCCGCCGTCCCATGATAAGGCTGGGCTGGGGTATGTAATGCAAGACAACATTGGAGTAACATCTGGCACGAGTAGGGTCACAACGTGGGAGTGGAGGATCTACTTTGTATTAAGTATGCATGTAATCGGGAGCGGTTCCGATAACCCCAGATTCGGAGAGTCCACAAAAGCGTCATGACAGGGGTGGTTCGGCTCCGACGACGTCCAGGCGCAAGATTTGCTTTATTTGAAGAATTGAAGACATGGAAGTCATGAATAACATAGTGGTTCATATATTATGAGAGCAAGCATGTAGTTATTCCATCCATCGGTTTGTTGGAAGTTGGGGATGTCTTCAATGACCCCAGTTGCGCAAGCACTTCACTTTGAAACATTCATGTTGTAAGTGTTCGCTAACATGACCATATGCATATGTGATTGGACTGATAGGGGACGCCGATAGTCATCTAATGCAGACATTCCGGTTGCGTCACAAAGTCCAGCGACGATAAAATTCTCGATGCTCATGTTGGAGCAAACGGATCACATCCCAGTTGACCAGAACCCAGCTTTCCGGCGCTTGATGGCTGACCCGCTCATTATCGTCCGCTAAAAATACACCTGTATTATTGTCAGTCTTGTCTCTATCTTACCTCGCATGCCGAAGCGATCCCATAGTCTCAAATTCTGCAAACTCCGATTGCTTTAGCCGAATCTCCCTGTATTGTGAAATTGAAAACCTCAACACTACAGTGGCTTATCGTCAAATATCGCGAAGGCCAGTTTTATTTCCAGCACTTGAATAATCTTATCCACTTGATCATCCTAGCCTCCTTCGTTACTTTCACCACGGGTCCTCTCCAACACCCCTCGACAACCCCAAATGTGGCCTAACTTTACTACACGACACGTATGCCCTTTGAGGTATGGCTGAGTAGTTGACTGTCAATGGTCGTTACCTGCACTGTCCCGCTGCGTATATGCGTGCCCCTTTGTAGACAGTCTGTCCCCCGAGAGGTTAGATTTTCGATACTGCCCGGGGTAGGTTGATTCTGTGCCATACTGCAAGTTAGCTAGATGATTCTTTCACGGTGGTCCCGCCGTAGGGGCGGCTGTTGATCATTTTCGAGAAATCAAGACGTGTGCTTCGCAAGTTGGCAGGTCTTACTGAGAATATCCTGTAAACCTAGTTGGGGATAGTACTCCTTCTTTCTCTTGTTTCCCCGTCGCTTTTATTTCTCAGTCATGTAGTTGTATTTTGCCTCGTCATTATTAGCAACGCTTCCATTTTATGGATGCCGTCCCCCAGCCATGTCTCTTGAAATTTGGCGAACTACTCCATAATTCTATCATTGTTCCCATTTACATGCCCATTTCGAACGCTGCGTGAAGCCACATCCTCCCTCTCTTTCCTCGCTTCTGTACCATCCAGGATATCGGGAACGCCCGTGGCTACTCTCTTTCGCTTTGTAAGGTGCCAGTACCCCGTTCTCAATAAACCCCTCGCCTCCCAAATCGGTAGTAATGTAATCGTCAACGCCGCAAAGAAGGCCCACAGGAACAACATCACAACCCATCCCCTGAAGAACGTCTTCGTAAACACGTAGCTATATCCGTACATCGGAATTGGCCACAGAATTAGAAATGAAAGGGTGAGGAAGAGGCTGATGTAGATGGATCGGTTCCGAGCTTTCAGCAGTGCCTCCTGTTCTTCCCGTTCCTCAGCCGAATTGTGCATCAATGCACCATGTGCCTCCGCATTCCGAATCTCCACGGCGTGCCCATGCAACGTGACATGTTCGTCATCACCGCGTTTTATCTGCGTCTTGAGGATAGTCCAGTCAAAATGGTCTGGCTTGGTAAAAGTAATTAGGGGTGTGAGCACGGCCGGTCCGCACAAGGCCATCATGTTGCCCGCCACTAGGGGCAAATTTGCAGACAGAGACGCAATATTCACCACACCATAATGCGTATACGCCGTCAAAACCCACGCCAAAATCCCCGCCACGGAGCAAGATAGTGGTGCGATGATGGCCGCCGCCTTGGACTGCTTCCGCCACATGATGGTACACGCCATTGGGATAATAGCCGAGTCGACGAAGATGCCGATGGCAGTGACAAGAAAACCGACCGAGAAACCGGCGTGGTTGAACCCTACGGCGATTGCTGCTGTGCATATGCCGAACCCGGGGGTGACCCAGTGCGAGAAGGTCATGATTTGCTTGCCGGTCGCGTTGGGGTCTATATAGGCTTTGTACAGATTGTAGGCGAGCAACGCAGTGGTGGCGACAGTCTCGGATGACATGGCGGAGGTGACAGCCATGAAGACCGTGAGGAGTACACCGATGGACCCGCCCTTGCCCATGACTGTACATGGTCAGTACTGAATACAGGCTCGGAATGGAGATCTTTGACTTACTTGCTAATGCAGCGTAAGGCATAGGTATCCCCGAAGATAATTCGTACACATTCATGCGGTTTGGGTAGGTTGGCCATTGGGGGAGGTGCTCGGACGCTGCTGCTGCAAGACCATATGTCGATGCGAGAACAAAGGGGATGGCGAACCAGCATATTCCACCAAGGATGTAGCCATTCGATGTACTTCGGGGATCGGCGGCGATGGCCTTTTGGAAGAGCTGCGAATCGACCGCAGCGGCAAAACCGGCGCCTACGAAGACGAGGCCGATGAAGCCACCCCCTATTTGCGGGTCAGAACATGAACGCTCGTTTGGGGTGGTATCAGATCAAACCTGCCTTCACTCCTCATGGTCAAATATGACCCACTGGCATTGCCGTCAACGGGATGTAAAACGGACGCTTCGTGTAGAAGATCCCACATCCTGTCCGGTGACCCGATCACATCGGATGTGACGTAGACGGCGAATATGGACATCAGCATTATAACGTAGATGATCACCGTGTGGATCTACTCAATCATCAGTAAATTACGCACCACCATTTCCTCTCAACTCATCTTACCCAGTCCGTGATGAATGTCGCCTTGATTCCCCCAGCCAAGGTATATATAACCACACCAATGGGGAACAAGAAACAAGACGCATCGCGGTTGACGCCCGTCATGGTTGCAAAGACCGCAGATCCACCGACTAGCAGGTTCACAGTTGCAATGACCTGGTATATGAAGGAGTATAATGAAAAAACGACGTGAACCCCCGTCCCGTACCGCACTTTGGCCACCTGTAGAAATGTCTGCGCGTTCGGTGCGCGACGCTTGAGCTCAATGGCAGCCACAGAGAAGAGCATGATTTGGACGCTTGCTGCCGCAGCATACTAAGTGGCGTCAGTCTCTTCATCACATCTCACATCTCATTGGCTATGTTTCAGTGGCCGCGCGTCTCTTTCTCTCTTGTCGAAAGGATACGAAAAAGAAATGCATACCCAAAAAGGTCCCGAGACCCCATAATCATACCCATACGCGGTTGACGTCAACAGCGTCGCTGCAATCGTCCACGACGACACCACCGCCGACGCCGTCAGCCCTGTCTTGACCGAGTGCTTGGCTGTCATGAACATCTCTGAGTCCTGAACCTCGTTCATGTACCGGCTCAGCGCCCATGAAGTCAACGACATGCCAACGGCGAAGAGCGCTCCAACGCCGACAATAATACCATAGCCCACGCCTAGCCCTAAAGGGGGCGGGATCTGAAATATGTCCTCCATTGAAGACATGATGGGCGTAGGTATTACGGAATACAGTTGTCTGATCACACACCATCACGAACTCATATATCTGGATGAGTAGAAACTTCTTCCTGTCCCATTTTGAGACGGAAGGCCACGAACCATGCATTATCCCTGTATGTCTAGGGACGTCCCTGCTTATCACTACCAGTTGAGACACTATCACGGGTTCTGGGTCGGCCTGTTTGGAGCATATCGGCTGACCTGATGTCATTTGGGGTAACCGTCTGATAAAGAGCAAAATTCGCCAACTTGCATTTGTCGGGTCCGCAACCATGCGTGGCCGCTGTTATCGTCTCAACCTAGACAACAATATCGGGGTTTGAAAAAGTAGGGAATCGGGCTCTGATAAGTCGGAGCTGAGTTCACTCATCCAGGCTTTGGAAGCATTTTAACATACATTGTCTGGGCAGACGGAATAGAAAAGGGGTTAGCGTTAACATGTTCGAAGGCATAGGACGAAATCGTACCCAACCTATCTACACCTCATAACTTGGACCCCTCAGAAAACGCATCAAGAATCTGCTTTGCACCCCTGGCACCACTACGCAGCGCCCCCTCCATATAGCCCCTCCACTCGTCCGTCAACTCCGTTCCAACAAAGTAAACCCCATTGAACGGCTCAAACAAGAAGTTCCCCTCCAAGTTCCCCAACACACCCGGCGGCGTAGTCGGAACCGGACACCCGAACCCAGCCCAGCGGTCTTCCATCCACGGCGAGGTTAAGGCCTCAATGAAGTTATCCTTTAGAGTCTTACTGTCCACCCCAAAGATCTGAGATATCTGCTCCAACACGGCTCTCTGCCTTTCCGCCTCCGGAAGTGCATTCCACTTCCTACCCGGCCGCGACCCAATGAAACACGTAAGCGCATAGTTCTCCGTCCCGTCATCCGACGTATCCCGGAAAATGGACACCGGCCCGGCCAAGCTCTGCGCAAGTCCGCAGCGTGATCCGTTGCGCCAGAATGGTGTTTTGAAGAGCAGGAGGTACTTGACGTACCAGCCGTACCTGACCGCCGTGGCGTAGGCTTGTCGTTGGGGAGGCAGAGGAGGGCTGAATTTGATGTTCCGGTATGTTGTGCTTGGGATACTGACGATGACTTTCTTGCTGAAGACTACCTCGCCGCTGGAAAGCGTCACGCCGTACCGTTCTTTGCCAAGCTGCGTGATGGCTGTTACTGGCGAGGACAGTTTGATGCGGTCAGCGGGTAGTTCCCTCGCCAAGCCATTAGCAAGAGACTGTGTTCCTTCTCGGAGTCTGAGGTACTGCGCTCCATGCTTTCCATCGTTACGCAGATTCATGATTCCCAACCCGCCTCTGCACATCTCGAGATACGAGAGTGCGGAGACTTCGCTCGGTTCGGTTCCCAGCATGCCGTGGAACCAGATACAAGCAGTCTGGAGTGCGCGTTTGGATGCCCCTTCTGCCCGGATAAACTCTTCGAAGCTTATCGAGTCCAGTTCTGCCCTTCTCGCTCCAATGAAATTTGCCGGATCAAGAGTTGCGGCCTCGACTAAATCCCGAATTCGAACGGCGTCTTGCTTTTCGACTTTACTGAACTATACACCATTAACACTCGGTTTACCCCTCTGTTCTCAGCCACAACCGAAGCCGACTTACCTTGGGCATCTCGCCGTACATAAAACTATGACATTCTCCATTCACATCCTGGAACCCAACCTCTCCCTTGATGTTCTGCGTGATGGGTGTCAATCCAAATTTCTTCGCCAGCGCCCACGCCCGTTCCTGGTTCGTGTCGTTAATCCACGCCGCGCCTAGCTCCTGGACACCTTTTCCGTCTGCCCGTTGTATCGAGCATGTCTTTCCTCCTACCCTATCCCGCGCCTCGAGAACGACGAATGAAAAGCCTGCGGCTTGCAGGTCTGTCGCTGCTTGAAGGCCGCTTAGTCCGGCGCCAATGATGGCGACGTCGATGGAGTCCATTTTGAGTAGCTCGAATTATGTTGACTTTACCAGATGATGCGATGTTGTGAGAGGAAAGGGATGTAGGACTGACACTGGGTTTTGTTCCTCCACGCTGCGGTAAAGTTGGCTTTCCATGCCGGAACCGACGGTGGCGGTGTTGAGTTCCTGACTGCGGTCTCGTTTGTTTTATTTCAGCCCAAGTGGGCTATACGTCAAGTTCTGGGACCTTTCTGACTCCTCTCAGTGGTCGTAGCTGTCAGGCGGAGAAGCCGATGCAGATCTTGACCCGCTTACCCGCATCGAATCGACCTTCCGGTTCGCTCATCGGCTCCGATCTTTCTTAGGCCCTGGATCTGTGAAGCCGGTCCACTTATCATCGGTTCCGCCACCGTCGAATGTCTTGTGGTATTGACGTCAGTTGTGCAACAGCGAATAGTCGCGGTATTCTCATCTCACTTTACTTTAAATGCCCCAATGCATATTAAGAACCAGGAGATGAGTCCTAGCTATATAGTTTACAGAATCAAGCACTTTTCGGACTGAACACTAGAACATTTCTATTTCACTCAGCAAATCATGGCCCCTGTCAAGTGCAAAGCAATGATTAATGTCGACCTCGGGGAGGCGTATGGCAACTACAAGTGTGGTCCAGATGAGGAGTTAATCCCCATGATAGATCATGCCAACATAGCTTGCGGATTCCAGTAAGCCCCCTTCAAGCTCAGAAATCAACCCCAAAAGATGAATTACTAACAATCATCAGTGCAAGGTGTGTTCTCACAGCCAACTCTTGGTTCTTGCTGTCTTGCTGTTCATGCCCACTAAGTCCCTAACCAGCGACCCCCTGGTAATGTCCCAAGCCGTCCACCTCAGCAAAACTCACAATATCAAAATCGGTGCTCACCCAGGCCTCCCGGATATCCAAGGCTTCGGCCGCCGCGAAATGACTCTCACCCCCGAAGAACACACCGCCAATATCATCTACCAAGTCGGTGCGCTGCAGGGGTTCCTCTCCCAGGCGGATGTCCCACTCCACCACGTCAAACCCCACGGCGTGCTCTACGGCATGATGTGCCGCGACATCAGAATCGCCCGCGCCGTGCTCAAAGGCGTACCACCGGGAGTCCCCGTTTTTGGATTAGCAGGCACGTGTTTCGAGCAAGCGGCTAATGAGCTGGGCATCGAGTTCTGGGCCGAATTTTATGGAGATGTCAAGTACAGGAAGGATGGGAGTTTGATTGTGGATCGTAAGAAGCAGCCTTGGAAGATTGAGGATGTCAAGAGGCATGTGAGACAGCAGTTGGAGGAGACGGCGGTTACGGCGGTTACGGGAGAGACGGTCCAGTTGGAGGTTAAGGAGTATCCGGTTACCATATGTTGTCATTCGGATTCGCCTGGGGCGGTGGAGATTGTGAGGGCTACGAGAGAGGTGGTAGATGACTTTAATCGAGCGAATGGATTTGTTTGAGATTTGTAGGTTGGGTTAGGTGAAGTGAGGTGACAAGTCTGCAATTTGTGCTATAGTATTGCTTGCTCTATGGATTCCTGGATTTTGATTTTAAGACTTGTTTCAGGAATCGATTAAAATTATGAGATTGATAACACAAATTCCGATTAACTGGAAATAAATCATGAAATCCCAAGAAAGATGCCCCTTAGTGTACATCACCATACACTTCCTTCCCTGGTGTGGCTGGCCGATACTTCCAAACTAGATGTTTACGGAAACGGAATACCCTGTTTTCTGCTAAAAAGCCACGTCGTCCATGTGCACCCAGCTAGCTCTCATAATGTGTCTCTGAACAGATGTCATGTGCAATGACTTGGCATATGATCCCCAAAGGGTAAGAATCTTTAGCACATCTTCCAGTTTCACAGTAACAAAGTCAATTTGATACGACTTCTACATCGTAGTAAATTTCTCAGCAACACATCTAACAGCCTCGGTTATCAAGCAGAGCAGGAAGGCAGCTATGCAGCTCCGCGAACCCAATCAAATTATAGAGGAAATAGTCTGCGTGCAAGCCATAAGAAACACACAAACCTCGTCCGGGTCCCAGCTCATTACTTAATTTCCCCCTCGCGAACTAAACGACGAATAGTATCAATGCTACCCTCAACAGCCATCTTCGCCATCTGAAACTTCAACATCAGCATATGTATTGTCAAAACAGGAAAGAAATGAAACCCGAAGGAATACGATATCATTAAAAAGATTCAACCCACCTTCTTATACTTCTCAAGCAACTCATTCCCCTTGTCACTCCCCTCCTTCATCCCCGGATGCCGCCATTCAAACGCATACGTCATCATCAACTCTCCATCCGGTCCCTCGCTCACGATATTGGAGATGGTGGTCCCATCTTCCTGCTTGAAATCGACCCGGCACGGCGCATAATGTAGACACACCTCTCGCACCTGTTCCTCGTCGGCTTTTGGGCCCGAGCCAGGCGCGAACTTCACCTCACGCACGATCTTCAGAACTGTTTCGGCGGTTTCTTCCTCCTCGGATGTGACCTTGCACTCTAGTATTATGGGGACGAATTCCTGTGCGTGCCTGACTTTGCGCTGCAGGCCTGCCCAGACTTGGGTTTGGGTGAGTATAGGGGAGGCGCCGGTGGGGTTTATGGATCCGGTGTAGGCGAAGTTAAGGTTCACCATTTTGTCGGATAGCAGGTTGGGTTTGTTTGGGTTGATGGCGAGAGGGATGTTGGAAAACGCAAGTCGTCAGGCTTTTGTTCGCCCTTTCGGAGGTCGCACAATCGGTGTTGGGGAAATCCACCCCCTGCTCATGCAGTGAGACGTGGCTTTTGCAGAACGCACTCAAGGCCGTCTACCATTGGCCAGCATGCTTTGCGGTTGAGATTCTGTATCAGATTGTCGCGATGGCTCAACGAGGCTTCAAATGAGTACTGTATTATGGGAAGACTTGGGCTCCGTGTCAGGAATCAGCGGCTCCAGCGTTACCTACACCTGTAAAACCACTGCTTGTTAAGTGAGTTCCGTCTCGTCAGCTGCAAAGCGCTCTGAAAGGGGATTTCATGTGAAAGATTTTAGGCCCAAAAGTTTTAGAAATTAAGCAAAATCTCTTCTTCAATGAGTAGTATTGGACTTATTGCAAGCTATAACAAGGCATAGGATTGAATGTGTCTCTGATCTTCCCAAGGCCAAAGGAGTGGAGTGAAGGTGGCCATAAGGGCCTTAAATACAGAAAATTGTACCTCATGACTGCTAGCAATAGAGCAAATTTAGAAACCCTAAATTAGCGGTCGAGCACGAAAGAGCAACAAAGAGCTGAAAGTAAAACGTAGAGAGGAAAGCTAGGAATAGCTAGAACATACAACATCACCGATTACCTTTTAGACGGGCACCGTAGGTCAGTAAGAAACAGAATAAACGGCGTATCAACGTTAGACTACCTTAGAATCCCCCAGTATGCCGGTGTAGCAGATAGCTATAACCTGACTGTTCCACCTACTTATACCGTTTGTCTGGTCGGCCTCTGGAATATGAAAAGGTGAAGTTTCAGCCTAATATTATGCCTCGTTCTTTTCTCCCTTTCATATCGCTCTAGGGTGGTGTCAGCTTACCGGAATGACCCGACTTTCGAACGGCATCTTTTCACCACATCTGATGCAATATGGTATGTTTCGAGGCTCTTTTCATATCAAATCCGGCCTGTTCCACTTTTGCTCACCTATAAAGTGAAACACCACTCTCTAGACTGCGAAGTAATGGAGGGTTTTCGCAGCATATATGGATAAATATGTTCTTTCTTGTCGTTTAGTGGTACATTTCTTGCTATGAGTCCAATGGCCGTTATCCGCAAATCCCTTAGCTTGTCATCGCTCAACTCCCGCAATCACACCATCAGCACCAACATGTGCAGCGACTCCAACAACGAACAATTCAACTACCAAGAAGTTGTTGTGGCGTGCCAATGCAAGCGTTCATCCCTCGCCGTCGCTGTGGAGTACCGCGGCTCGGTTTCCTCTCATGACTGGGGAGAAATTTCCATTTTGACCAATCGCCTAAGTGTCATTATAATAGACGATAGAAGGAATGCCGGAGAGGGAGCAATGCGTCGTGTAGATGATGGCCTTGAGCTGATGCGGAGGTATATCGTATCGGGGCTAGGCATGTTTTGGGGATGAGGCACTTCAGCATCGAGGAATGTGGAGAATGAGGCGGAATACGCGGCGGACTTGTCATATCCTGCAGTTACGACCCCTTTAGTAACTCAAAGCATCAGAGTTGCTAAAACTTAGCCTGGAACACGTCGTTATACAACTTTCTGGCATCTTACAGTTTATCGAAAGTGTCTATACACAGCATCTCCTCAATTTTCATCTCCTCCCTCAAGCGAGGATACGGCCATGTCGTCGTTACATTCACCTTGGACTTGTCGCTCTGCAGCACTTGTATCAAGCATCTCAAGAGCACCTTGGTTTCTTGATCATCGATCCAGTGCACTCCATCGATGATGCAAAAACCGCATACAAAACCAAGCCAACAAGATCTTCAGTATGGCCATCGTCTAACCCTAGCAATCAACTGTCCCATCCAATCTTGCAAAACACGCCTCTGGTAGGTCAACGTCAGACTGAATTGAGTTAGCAGCAACGCAATCATCTGCCGTATTATTGCGCGGACTAACGAAAACACGCCCCTGAGTCTCCGACGATGGTTTTCCAGGCGGCATTTCCTCACCATGGTGCAACTCGCAGAAATAGGACTGATACGTGACCCCATAGGGGTTACCCTACAGCGATAGATAAGATAGATAAGATAAGAGCTATAAAAGAGCTCTGCCAGGCCAGAATAGCTGACCTGGCCATCCTTTCCCAATACAACAATTCACACCCCATATGCACTCGCATCAAGGACAGAGCGGGTACACCAGGTCTCGCGATCAGGTCGATGAACTGAGGCGCTAGCATGGTGGGGGGTTCGATATCGTCAGACTCTAGGGGTAGACCATCAATCCAGAGGATCCGATCTGATGTGCTCAGGCCTATAGTTAATAGCTAGGGTAGTTGACTAAGGGGTTATTTAGATACAAGGGTCTACGTGACCTACTAAGAGTTGCGTGATTACTACTAGTACTTAGTTAAGATAAGATCTCTCTGCAGAGTAGATCACAGAGAACACATACAACAATCAATTCATCAAACCGAACTGTCACATTACCGTCACATTAAGGTCGCGCCGCAAGATATGTAAATATCCAACTACGGAAGGTAACTACGACTAGGCTATTACGGAATTGGATTCTAATTGGTGTATTCAGGAGATTTCTACTCCTTTGAAGGAATGTGATGCGAGTGCATATGGGGTGTGAATTTTTGTATTGGGAAAGGATGGCCAGGTCAGCTATTCTGGCCTGGCAGAGCTCTTTTATAGCTCTTATCTATCTTATCTCTAGCTATAGGGCAACCCCCCATGGGGTCACGTATCAGAATGTTAATTTTCGACGATTATTCGATCGCTCGGCTGCTTTTTGGCACATAGCTCCGCTATTCCTTGACCTTGCAGATAACAAGCCCCTCCGGAGGGGGACTAACCGAGAGCATCGGTCGAGATCGAAGGAAGGATACGGTTCATATTTAAGGTTCGCGGACGGTTACGATACATACCTAGCAGCTGGACGATGAACAGGGACACCCTAGTATAGATACCCCACCCGTATATACCTGTACTTGTAACCCCTTCTCTTTCTTCTTCAGTTTAGTATTCGGTAACAGAGTTAGACTGATATCGTAACCTAGATTTGTACTCGCAGTACCTCTGCCTCTGTAACGAGGATACCACACGTCTCACAATATAATAGTCAGGTAGTGCAAAGGGTAGCTAGAAGTAGGCCAGTGTATAGGTGCGTATATTGCAAGACTGATTCTTGAAGAATCCAAACTAGGTGCGAGCGTCTCGAGTTCTCCTCTTAAGCTGGGCGGTTCCGGGGTTTTACCGGATCGGGGCGAACCCCTCCCGACTCAGCTTGTCAGCTGAGACCGGCCCGCCACAACGGCTCTTTCCTTACAGCCTCGTCACAACCCTCACCATTCCCGGGCTTTAGTCACTAATACTAACCTCACCGGAGGCCCTAGTTGGGCAACCTGTGTAGTTTATGGTTGCTAAAGCTTATATAGCTATTTTAACCGTGCTGGGGGTCCTTGATAGCTGTACTTTTAGGGTTTGAAGGTGCTAGATGTCCCTGCTAGCCTACTAGGACCCCCTGTAAGACTTGTTAGCTTGCAAATCTCTGCAAAATATTTAGTAATTTGAAACTTAGCTGTTATCTTGGCATTCCCCTGACGCTTAACCCGCTAACCTTATGCCATGGAGCGTCTAATTTCCCCCATAACGCCGACTCTGGCATCGCTATATCGCCACTCCGGTACTCCCGGGGGCTTAAGAGCGCCTTTTCAGTGTTTATGTGGCTTCACGTTCTCCGGACGCGGTACGGCCGTTTTATCATAGGCGTAGGCCTATGGCCATAATATCCAGAAGGATATAAACGTGAGCGATTATTTTTATCTGCCGGTAGAATAGTCACTTCATAGGGGCTATGCCTTAACGCCGGTATCATAGATATGTGCTAGATACTACGAATTTAGTACAGAGCCGGCTTAATAAGCTAGCTAGATACTCTGCTTAGGGCCCTAACGGCTGAGAGAGCTATGGAAATTAACTGGCTGGATGAACCGGACGAGGCTACAGAGGAGGCTATAATCGACTCCGCCAGCATATTCCCGGGGGACCGCGCCGGCGAGGTTGCGGTAGCTTCATCTCTTAGCAGTAAATCTAACCAAAAAGTCACTAACCTCACCTAACCTCACCTAACCTCGCCAGGATCACTGGTTGGTCAACATCACCAGCGTTTTACTCACTAATTTGATCACCAACCAACCAAGGGTGGATAGTGAGGTTGGTGAGGTTGGTCCGACTCTTGCAAGCATCATAGAGGTCTCGTCGCTCTGAATGAAATGCATCCACGACATTAAAGTCGGTAGCATCATCCTTGACGCGAAGGTAGCGAGTGACATTTTAGGCCGAATTTAGGCCGGCTTGGTGGTAGGCTCGACGTCGTTGCACCCTTCCTTCGTGAGGCAGCGTAGCACTGATCTTCGCGATATTTTGCAGTTACGAACCTTCGCCTTCAACTCCACTAGGATCCGACCGGTCGAGTACCCATAAGGGATACTGTTTTTGGTAATGACTCGCTCGATTTGAGAGACCGTTTCTGGCGTTAACACTGTTGATAGTCCTGTACGGGCTCCATCCTGGACAAGTTCGAGAAGGATTGAAGACCAACCACACAACCTCGGGCTCTGACCTTGCGTGGCAATTCATAAAAGCCAGATGTCTTTTAACCAGCTATCTCCACAATGTCCTTCAGTGTACCGCCGCAAGTGTGCATAGTGTAGTTAACGCATGGCCCGGGAGAGCGGTATCGCGCCCTGTTCCACAGGCCGGCGCCATCTCCGGAAATTGGACTTTGGAAGTAGAGAAGCCCCCTGCAGAGCCACACATTAGAAAAACAACCTGTGTGGTGGAAGGGCTGACATGGTGACAGGACAGTGCCAAATCCACGCCAAGGGCTATTCCACACAGTTGCAAGGGCCTTGGCTGGTTCGCATACTTTTAGCCGGAAACTCCGTATTAACAACAAAAAGCTGTTGGCATCTCCACTCCTATCCACGCCTCGGGTTGGTCTCAGATTGGGCGACACACCGTATTGCAACATAATGAAAACTAAGCACAACATTCGCGACTCGCTGAGCCCCTCTCCCTATGGCCTGGCCAGTGGAGTGAGTAGAAGATGGCCTCGTCTTCTGGACTTGCTAGATAGAGACATGAAGCCGTGATGCCAGGAATTATGATTGGAGGCAAATCATGATGACCACAAGAAAAACTCTGCAGCGGGTGCGGGACTAGTCTGTTCGGCACAAAGTCTGCAGTTCATTACCGTAATTATCCAAGCGTGTCCGCCAGTGCTTCAAAGGTAGTGGTTGGTTCTAATGCCAAGCGTTTATCTACCAGGATGATGAGCTTCTGTCCACTGTTTCCCCAGTTTATCCTCACGATAATCTTATCTGATGATCTGATCCATCAGATAATGACGCTTCGGCATGCGAGTCTGTTCATCCACATGGCTTGGGCCAGCATGAGGGATCTAGACTAAGGACAGGGAACGGAAGAATCGTGAAGAGAAAAAAACTCCCGACATCGGGCCTTGCGCCTATGAGTATCGTCATGAGCAGTTACTTAAGTCCGTGATGTCGACCGCGATTGCTGCTTTTCTGTCTCCTCATCTCTTGCTCGTCCACGCAGAGAACAGCAGCAGCCAAGATGCATCTCCCATCCTCCCTTGTTTTCTCCCTCGTCTGCTCCCTGGCCTCCGTCTCAGTCAACGCCCAGACTGACGAAACATGGCCATACCAGACCTTCAAGTCGGAGCCCTCGCTGCAGCCGCCTTCACTTGAAATCACAAAGTCTGGCCCGACAGCCCCTGGTTACATTTTCTTCGACCAAAATGGCCAGCTTGGCCACAACTACAGCCTTTTCATCATGACGGACGAGAATGAGCTCGTCTGGCAGGGTGAGCTGGGCGACTTGACCGGCTTCAAAACCCAGACTCTGGACGGCAAGCCAGTCTTGACTTACTACACCGGCGCGACATTTTCCGAGCCGTTAGGTTTCGGGTACGGAGTCGTCGAGATCCTCGATGACTCGTACGAGCATCTGTACACTGTCACCATTAACGGCACGACTGAAAACTGGGTGGCCTTGGGCGGCGCCAACCTCACCTTCCTCGACGAGTATCAGTGGTACCTCGACATGCACGAGGCCCTCATCACCCCTGAGGGCACCTTGTTGGTCACTGCCAACAATGTCAGCCAAATCGATCTGACGTCCGTCGGAGGCCCTGCAGATGGTTGGATTATTGACTCGCTGTTCTACGAGATCGACATCAAGACCAACGAGATTCTCTTCCGGTGGAGCCACCTGGCCCACCTCGACCAGATCCCCTTGACGGATGTGCTTTCCGTCTACCCCCTGGACGACCTGGGCCAGAACCAGACCGTACCCTGGGGCCCCTTCCACATCAACTCGGTGGAGAAGTTCGCCGATGGCTCATACTTGATTGACTCGAGGCACTACTGTGCCTTCTTCAAGATTGCCAAAGATGGCAGCGTGGAATGGACTCTTCAGGTACGTCTTGAAAAGACAATCCCATCACGTAACCGGAACCCATAGAAACTAACACAAACGCAGGGACGCACCGGCGGTGACTTCACCCTCGGAACTGACCTCTCCTTCTGCTACCAGCACGACGCCCGCATCCACGCTGAAGACGGCAACAAACTGCTTATCAGCATCTACAACAACGACAACTCGGGCACCGTGAGCGGCGTCAACCAAACCAGCGGTCTCTTCATCTCCGTCAACACCGACTCCTTCGTCGCCAACATGACGCAGGAATTCATCGACCCCAACGAAGCCATCTACTCCAAGTCTCAGGGTAATATGCAGGTGCTTGAGAACAAGAATGTCTTGATGGGCTACGGGTCCACGCCCAAGTTCAAGGAGTTCAACGCAAACGGATCTGTCGTCATGGATGCTAGGTTTGGATACGTCGAATACAGCGTGTTTTCGTACCGTATCTTCCGCCAGGAGTGGGTGGGTAACCCCAAGACGGCGCCCAAGGTGTTTGCTTGCAAAGATACGGCGACGAACCAGACCGAGGTGTACATGAGCTGGAACGGTGCGACGGAGCACCAGTCCTGGAACGTGTACGCCTCGGCTACGGAGGAGAACCTCTCTTTGGCTGCGACCGTGGCTAAGAGCGGGTTCGAGACCGTGGCCAAGATCGGGGGGTGGGCAGAGTATGTGAGTGTTGAGGCTTTGGGGCTGAACACTACTTCGAAGATGTCGACTGTTGTGTCGGCTCTGACTGAGTGCTGAGTGTCGAGTGTCAAATATGAAGGGCACCCTTCAAACACAACTTCTCGATAACTTATCCTAATGTTAATCAATGTTATGATGCGGAACAATCATAGTGTAAATTTGATTTTTGTTGTGTATAACGTACCCCACAAGCAAGTTGACCACTTTTTCTTGGCACCGTACGAACAACCTTTTAATTAACATCTTTACACATACCAAGATGGGATCGAATTGGAAAGAAAGCGACATGATTCTAGCGTGTCAGGCGCTTCAATCGAAACCTGAATTAAGCATCCGACGCGCTGCCCAACTCTACAATGTCCCTCGTACAACTCTAGCTAACCGAAAACGCGGACTACTATCTCGACGCGATACTCGACAATCTAGTCAAGAAATTGAAGACCTAATACGGGCGCATATAACCCATATCTCGAAGGAGGATGATATACGTGTAAGTCGTCGTCGTACGAGACCGGCCGAACCACGCCGACGGCGCTGTAGGATCTGCGGAGAGCCCGGACATAATGCTCGTACTTGCGAGAATGATAAAGATACGTACGAGGAAGAGGATTCCGATTAGTTTGAATTATTATTTTTTAGTTTAGTTAAGTTATTGAAGTTATTCATACGGTGCCAAGAAAAAGTGGCCAACTTGCTTGTGGGGTACGTTAAGTAAAACCTGGCTACAATTAGCATGTCTTATGGGTCAGAGTAATTGGAAACTAAGCTCTTCACCAAAGTTTTATAGGTTGCAACTGTGGGATTGAGCGCCACGGTTATGCCCTAGGCTGAAGGCGGTGTAGCGGCAATTGCACTGGTGGGGTCAAAACCCTTCCTCATAGATAAAATAGCTACACAGAAGACACAACAGAGCAGATAGATAGATCAATCAACAGAGGATCTACACAGAGTCATCAATAGAGGATTGAATCTCTCAGCAACTAGGTATAATAACTAAATTCTCACAGTTTGTGTCATCAACCTCACGTCTGCCTTTCTATGTGGCAAAATTTGATCACAATACTTCTGAAATCACATTCACCGGTATGTGCTGTATCTCTCCAACGCTCCCATCATATATTCACCAACATGCTAATACATGCACAGGGAGTGTTCCGGGAAGGTTTTACTAAATATCATTATACCTAACCCTTTAGGCCAGTTGGTTATGAGACGACTTGATACGTCAGGTACTCTACTAAGCCCTGTAACCGGCTATTCACATCATGCCCGAACAACCGACTCAGAACATAATCGTCACGGAGCGGTACAGGGCCTTTGTTCGATATTCTTGCTTTGAGGTCTTCCTCTCTGAAGAAGAGAAACGTAACCTGAAAAGGAACGATGAGAACACAAGGATATATACAGGGAATCAAGTTATTCAGGGTCCATTCAGCGCTATTGAAGTGAAACCTGTCTGGGATACAAAAGCAAAGGGAGTGCCTCAAGGCCTACAAGAGCGACTTTGACTTCATCAACTCTTAACCCTAATTTAACTACAAAGAAAATGTCCCCCAGTCACGCAGCTGAAGCAATCGTGAAAGCTTCGTCTCGAGAAACCGGGGGTGGAGAACGTATCTTCGCGGGGCCCGATAATGAGAGACTGTCATACAACAGATTCAACCTGGCACCCATTTTTCCCAGAATAGCAGATCATTATTCACACGAAATATGGGAGATGAGGACTATGCTCAGCTCATCAACACATCAGAAGGACACGCTGAACTATGTACGATATGGTACGAATCGGTATGAGCTTTGAAGAAGGGTATTGTCTTAGTCCACCTGTCTACCTTTCTTATCAAGATAACGCATTGCACGCCCTCAACAGCTACCTGAGTCCGTGCTAGTGGAATTCACAAATTCGTATGAACCCATGGTATAGTCCCCTTACTCCCACCATCCCAAGGGATGAAGTTGAACACCCTACCCTGACTGATCACCGGGCCAGACACCCTTTTTCTCACCATGTTCTCCTGGCCCACATATGGTACAAAACACTGATCCATTAACCAAGCCATCCAAGAGCTCCACGTCGTCCCCCGAACGATCATCCTCGACATGTCGTAGACGATCTTTGCCTCCTCCTTCCGTATCTTCTCGTACCTAGAAAACACTCCATCTATCCCTTTGCAATCCAAGTTTTCATTCGACTTCAACGCGTCGCTAAGCTCATTGACCAAACAAACCACCGACTGTATCGAACAATTTAACCCCATCCCCGCATTGGGCATCATGCAATGCACCCCATCACCCACCAGCATAACCCTCCCATGATGCCACTTGTCTACCCACCCCTCATTCTGATTCACCAACCGTGTCCAGTTGCACTTGGGCCAGACATCCTTAAACTTGAGATTCGTCATGACCTGCACATTCGCAAAGTCCACCGCCATCTCCGCCGTCTCCTCCGCCGTGTACATTTTCCTCTCTGTTGTCGGCTCCGCCAGGGTCCGACACAGTGAAAAGTGAATACTATCGTCAAACGCCGTCATCTGCGTCGTCATGCCCGTGCCCCGCGTCTCGAAAAAGGTGAACTCTCCGTGCCCTCGATGTAAGCGGCGCGGCCATACAGCACCTGGAAGCTGGACTGCATCGGCTGTTGCTCATTGTCAGTTTCGACTTCTTCCGGTGCTACGTCCGGGACAGAAGAGGAAGAGGCTTTGGCGAGGCGTTGCATTATTGCACGTGTCGTGCTGTGTACGCCGTCGGCGCCGATGACGATGGAGCCTTCTTCGACGCTGCCGTCGGAGAGAAGGACACGGACGCCGTGGTCGTGCGTCTCGATGTCGACCACGGTTGCGTTGGTCTTGATCCTCTCTTCGCGTGAGGGCAGGCCCTCGTACAGGACCCTTGTCAACTTTGGTCGATTGAAGTTTAGGCAGGGGTAGCCGTGTCTTTAAAGAGTATTGAGTTAGTCACAATGTCCACCTGCAAGTCCGTTCTCCCTTGGTCCGGTACAAGGTGCAACTGACGCTTCTTCCAGCATGTCGAACAAGTTGGCTCGCCCGGTAACCTTTCCATTGAGCAAGGTGTTAGCCTTGGCATGCACCGACATGCCCATCTTCTTGACTTCTGCCAACAAGCCAAGCTGGTCAAAAATCCGAATCGAGTGTGGCCAGAGCATAATGGCGGCGCCGGAGTCGTTGATGATGTTGTGGTGCTTCTCAAGGATCACGAAGTCGATGTTTGCTGCTGACAAGCCGTGACCCAAAGCGAGCCCGACTGGGCCACCACCAATGACAATGACACGGAAGTTTTTAGGGATAGACATGGTTCCTCTGTTTGTAGTGTGCGTGTGTGGAATTGCCATTTGATGTTGGATACTGCCGCGCTGCTTTGATGCGGGTTTGTCGACTGCTAAGTAAAGGATGAGCTCCTGTCATGTGGAACGGTCTGGATATTCCCTTCCTAGATAACCCGATGATGGCCTATTTCATCGTAGTTCTTACGCTTATATCCGTCTTTCGGCTGTATTTGCCAAGACGTTATGGGCGGTAGCCCTCCGTCGCCAACGGAGTCGGATTCGTATAGCACATAATCCGGTGAGATGAAAGCCCGTCTCCGTGTGGATGAATTGGCAGTGTGAAAGCCTATTGCAATCCACCAAAAGCCATTTTGTCGCCCTAGAGCTTGGAAAGTTTCAAGGGTTCGACAGAATCAACCAGGAAGGATCTGTTAGCGGCAGCGAATCCAACCCGCCGAGCCGATCCTACAGCCCAAACCGGCCGGGATCTCCCGCCTCATGAAGCAATCTACCTACAGATTTTCACTTTGTAATCTAATACCCCCACTGTTATATATACCTGCTAATGGTAATGCTGCTGCGAATTCACATCTCAAAGAAATCAAGCTCCTGGTAGCCCACTGAGCCGAGGTATGTATACCGGCTGGCCATCTCAACACAACCCACAGTGGATTCGAAGGATTCCTGGCAAAGGAATTGAGATTATGGTGAGATTATTTTGTTCCAATGTGAAAATCATTATGAATTGCACGGAAACCCCTGTTATATTACGAAGCCTCCCGGCGGTGACGTAATGTGCTACCATCCCCCACCACCCCACCGGTAACCAAATTAGCAGCACCTACACTATAATTAACGTAGTCCACAAGCGAACGGGTCACGCCAACTAGCAAAACATGGAATTCAACACGATTTCGCAACCACAACGCCGTAAATCAATTAAAACTACTCAGAATACTCTTGCCCAGATGATTCTATCTCTACCTGACAGGTTCGCGCATTATGCCCGGTCTTCCCGCATACGCCACAGCGCCGTTGCCGTGGCTGGCCACGATTTGATCCAGCGCTATTTCCACGCATTTCCTGCTGTACTTGCTGCGCAACGTCCTTTTGATCTTGAAGATCTTGTACGTCTTGTGAATTAAGTGATCCTTCAAGCCGTACTCGTGTTTTTTTGGCCCTGTGCCGCTTGCTAATTAGAGCATTTGCCTCTCGAAGTTCGGCGACCTCAGCTTGGAGTAAAGCCATCTTATACATAATACTCCGCGCTCCTTTCGAAAACTGATCGATAGCATCGTAAATTGATGTCGGGGAGCTATTTTGATGCCTAGCAATTCGATATTTAATAAATTCGGATTGCGAAGTAGCCTCGGTTGGGTTGTTTGGCGTCCGAGAAGCCTAAGGAAGGGTTTCCCGCGTAGGGGGCCGGGAGGACGTTGGAGTCTGTAATTTCGCATCCAGCTTCTCAATAACAATATCTGGGCTTAAAGGCACAAGCCCAGCCCCTTGAAAGCCTGCACGAATATTGCTTTCGGTCAGGCTCTTCTTGAACGCGTCGCAAAATGCCGGAAGAAAGTCCTCCTTTGTGATATGCGAGTCGCGTAGCAGTCGGTTTGCCATATCTTCAACAGCACTTAGCCGGGGAGGAAATTCTTGCGAATCTAGCTCAATTATCCTTTGAATAATCGTATTTTCTTCTAGTTTTGTTGAATTACGACCGTTGGCTTCGATATTGCGACGTGATTGACGTTTTTGAAGACGCGCCTGGAGAGTAGTATTCGAGACTTTGTAGATTGTTGCAGCACGTCGGATACTAAGTGTTGAGTCATTTCTGATAGCCTGAGTTGCAAGGAGTAATTGAGATTCTTTTTGAGCAGAATCCATCTAGAATTAGTTGCGTGGTAAAGTTAGGAAGTTTAGTTCTATTTTATGCTATGGGCGTGACCCGTTTGGTTGGGTGACCCGTTCGCTTATGGACTACGTTACTTCAACTTCAATTATACGGGTCTTAATAGAAATTGAAGCTATTTACAAGCCGGTTGCACGAATAAATAGCGAATTGAATAGAGTTTTCAATTTAGCATTTTTAGAAAGGTTACACGATACTCCACATCGGTACTACGGAGTTCCGCCAGCCGTAAAATTCTGATTTTACTACTTTTGAGGCCACGATGCCCCTTTGACTATTATTCTATAAGTACTACGCTTCAGTACACCAAAATGCCGCGCCGTAGCTGGACAGAGGACCAGATAGCTGAGGCTATTCTAGATGTTACCGATAATGGCCTGTCGCAGTACAAATCCGCCCAGAAGCATGGAGTGCCGCAGCAGACCCTTTCCGACAGAATCAAAGGCAAAGGGTGGCCAGACAACCCTATACCGACCAGCAAGCGGGTTTCTATAGCCCAAGAAAGCCGTATAGTCGACTGGATCATCAGACAAGAGTCCTTGGGATATGCCCCTACGCACAATCACGTACGCGCTTGCGTTTCTACACTTCTGGCTCAACAGGGGGATACCAATGAATTAGGGAAGAATTGGCTTAACCGATTTGTCTCTAGACATCCAGAAATTCGTACCAAGATGGGTAGAAAGCGGGAGACAGCTCGATTCAACTCGTTTAAACCAAAAGCCGTACATTGGTACTTTGATATCCGTGAGAGAGAATACGGCTGGATTAAGCCAGAAAATACAGTTAATGTCGATAAGGGAGGCATAATGGCTGGCTTTGGTAACTATCTATTAGTCTGTTAAGCAATTATCTATGCTAATTACTATACTATAGGCCTTGAAGGGCTCATATTGGGGAGTTCTGACGCCCAACAGAAGGCTATAATTAAGAGCTCACAGGGCCGTAGTTGGACTACCTTTATTGAAGCCACTACAGCCGATGGCCGCCTTCTAGAGCCAGGTATAGTGTTTAAGGGCAAAGAGCTCCAAAAACAGTGGTTCATTGACCAATTCCGAGAGATCTGTCCCCACTGGCGCTATATAACGTCACCAAATGGCTGGACAGACAACCATATAGGCCATCAGTGGCTTATTGACGTATACTTGCCTCAGACGCAGCCAGCAGACCCCTCTGATGCTAGGCTAATTATACTAGATGGCCATGGATCCCACGCCTCTGTAAGTCTTCTAGTTATTGCAGTATAACTGTACTAACTGGGCTATATAGGATGAGTGGATGACTACGTGCTTTATGTACAATGTATACTGTTGTTACTTACCGGCACACACTTCCCATGGCTTACAGCCAAATGACAATGTCCCCTTTAACGTATTGAAGTCGGCCTATAGGGCAGAAGTCAGTAAACTGGATAGAATGACGGATGCGGCGCCAGTTGATAAAGTCAACTTTATCCGGTGTTATAGTACTGCACGCAAGGCTATAACCGATAAGGTCATTAAATCTGGCTGGAGAACTACTGTAAATTGGCCAATTTCAAGGGCCAAGGCACTACGGCATCCAGAAATCCAGGTAGATGTTGATAAAAGGGGCACTCCACCGCCGCCACAAGCCCCTGGACTTGACAGTGATTCTACACCCCGTACGAGCCGTCAAATCCGCAACTTTGCGAACAAGTCAAGCCCACATAGCCGCTATAGGCTACAGAAGGTTGCCAAGGGAGTTGAAGCCTTAGAGGCAGAGTTGGTAGCCGAACGCACTAAGGCTACGGCATTACAGGAGGAACTAGACCGCTTGAAAAGGGGTAACAAGCACAAGTCACTGCCAAATCCGAATCGCCGTTTTATAACAGTATCAGAAGCACTAGCTGCAGGGGAGCCTATACCCCCTAATAACCGTCAAGAACCAGCCAATAATGGGAAAGTTGTGGAAGTTGAGGATGAAGGGGTTGATTCATCAGAATCAGAGGCTACGGCCGATGATTTGCCGGCCGCTGTAGTCACACGAAGTGGTCGTACAGTCAAGAGGTGGCGATATTCTTAAACTCCATAACAATAGCTACATAATGGTATAACTACGGTATAAATAGCTTCAATATGTACGGAATTATCTGTAAGTAAAAATGTAGTCATCCTGGGCCTCAATCGCCTCAGGATCGGCCCAGGGACGGGGACCCGGTGAAGCCCCAGTGTGGCAGCAGCGGGTTGTAGTGCCCCAGCGAAGGGAGAGAGAGGTAGTGATCCGGGGGACAGAGGACCCTAATATGAAGAACAGATCGGCGGCTGAGGTCGTAAAAGCGGTGAACAGTGCACGCGGCAGCACCGATGCAGTGGCGGCCCGCAGGCTGCGCAGTGGCGATACCGTAGTGACGTTTAAGCAGTCGGCCTCAGCGGCGACCACGGACAGCAGGTGGGTGCGTAGTGCCTTCGGCGATAAGGCACTTCTCAACCGCAGAGAAGTTGCAGTGATCGCGAAGGGGCTGCCTGCGAAACGGCTGCGAGAGGTCCACGACGAGAGCCAGCTACTTAAAGACCTGAAGCGGGACAATACAAAGCACCTCTCTAAGGCTAAAAGAAACCTCCCCCGGGCGCCGCAAGCACCGTATGCGGCCCTGATACTACACGTGGATAGCGTGGAGGCGGCGATGGAACTATGCTCCGAAGGGCTTATTTGGGAGGCCCAGATATTCGATTGCGAGCCGTACGACGGCAATCTTCGGGTTCGGCAGTGCTACCAGTGCTACGAATACGGCCATATCGCGAAACACTGCAAGAAGACGGCGCGTTGCGGCGTCTGCGCTGCAACGGCACACCCAGGGGGTGAAAAAGACTGCCCCGAGAAGGCACCTAGCGGCAAAAAACGTTGTGTGAACTGCAAAGGGAAGCACACGGCGTGGGACAGGGACTGCCCTACGGCAGAACAGCAGCGGCTACGCGTACGCGAGGCGTACGCTCACCGCCCCCGACAATTTGAGGTCCGCAGCTACTCGGACGGGTTATCTAGTGAGGGCAGGCTCACACCACCTAGCTCATTGACCAGCGACGGGTTTACAGTTGTACGACCCCGGGGCCGCCCCCTGGGCGGATCGCGAGTGGAGCAGGAGCGAACCGAACGGTCT